ATAAGAAAAATGTGGTACATTTACACAATGGAATACTACACAGCAGAAAAAAAAATAATGACAGCTTGAATTTTGCAGGTAAATGGATGGAGCTAGAAAACATTATTTTGAGTGAGATAACCCAGACACAGAAAGACAATTATCACATGTACTCACTCATAGGTGGTTTTTAAACATAAAGCAAAGAAAGCCAGCCTACAAACCACAATCCCAGAGAACTTAGACAACAATGCGGGCACTAAGAGAGACTTACATAGATCTATTCTACATGGGAAGTAGAAAGTAGAAAAAGACAAGATTTCCTGAGTAAATTGGGAGCATGTGGACCTTGGGGAAGAACTGAAGGGGGAGGGAAGAGGCAGGGAGGGGAGCAGAGAAAAATGTAGAGCTCAATAAATATCAATAAAAATGTATAAAAAGAAATGTAAGTTAATAGATACTCATCTATAATAGTCAAGCTTCTAGTCATGTTAGTTAGATTTTCTAGATGTATAGAGATATATTTCAGTCAGGTATTCTTCAAATCTTTCAGAGACCTTCAGAATATGGCATTTAAAATGTTTTAACAACTTAACAACTTAAGACTTTTTCATGGCAATGAAAATGGTGCTCCTGTCAAGCTACTTCAAGAGGAAGATGGGCATCGAAGAAGCTCCTTAAGGAGTTGGTTAGCCATGTGGGCAAGAAACTGGGCATGCAGGACCCGCATTGAAATGACTGATGAACTTGCCTAAAGGTGAGATGGTCCTTCGGGGTTCCTGCTTCATGAAAGAGTCTACCAGATGCCCTGCAGGACACAGAAGAAAGTGACTGACAAACTGCCAATACAGGTGGAGCTGTCTTTGTAATTTCCTGCTTCATGGAAAAGTCTGCTGGATACTATAAGCCAGTGGGCTGAAGATGGATGTCCCAACAGTACAGAAAAACTCTGGGTGACTGTCCAGACAGCGAGATGTCCTTGTCAATTCTAGAGTTTGGAAGTTGCGTACACTGTACTTCCTGTTTACTTAGGAAATATTATATCCTTCTGGAGTCTTTGATGGAGTTGAAGAATTTATAGTTATAGTTTTCCTTAGTTATGATAAAAGACAAAGTAGCTATAAATATTGTAACTGGGGGCTGGAGAGATGGCTCAGCGGTTAAAAGCACTATCTGTTCTTCCAGAGGACCAGGGTTCAATTCCCAGCACCCACATGGCAGCTAACAACTGTCTGTAACTCCAGTTCCAGGGCACCTGACACCTTCACACCAATGCACATAAAATGAATTTAAATAAAAATAAATAAATATTGTAACTGTAATTCTTGTTTGATACCTTTTCTGTTATATGTAATTTTGCTATGTTAAATTAAAAGCTTTCTTTTATTTAAACAGAAAAGGGGAGGTGATGTGGGAGTCCCCTCTGTGTGCTATGATTACCATTAATGAATAAAGAAACTGCTTTGGACCTATAGCAAGGCAGAACTTAGGTAGGCAGGAAAAGCTAGGCTGAATGCTGAAAGAAAGAATGGCTGAATAAGAGAGAAGCCATGTAGGCCTGCAGGAGACAGATGCCGGAACTTTGCCAGTAAGCCACTGCCATAGGGCAATACACAGATTAATGGAAATGGATTAAATTAATATGTAAGAGTTAGCCAATAAGAAGCTAGAGCTAATAGGTCAAGCAGTTACTTAATTAATACAGTTTCTGTGTGATTATTTTGGGGCTGAGTGCCTGGAATGAACAAGCAGCCTTCCTTCTCCAACAAGAAAATGTTTCTGGTTCCTCCCCCTTCTGTGGTATATCTGATAAGCTGATAGAGCAATGACTACTTACTGTTTGAGTATTTATTTTGTTGTCATCTAGGTATGGACTTTAAGATGTTTCTCATTAGGCTAAGGACATCTCTGACCAATCCATACCTGGCTGTCTGGATAATAGAAAAATATACAAACAAAATCTGTAGTTTAGCGAGGACTCAAAGGTCCGAGTCTATTCCTGCTGTTTTACAGATACCCGTTATCTGCTCTTTTCTATTATGTGGATTTCAGTATGGGCCTGAAAGTTTCAAATGTATTATTTTCCTTTAAGTACATAAATTTTAACTTCTGTTCCTAGTTTAAACTTGTGTCGATTGGTTCCCACTTGGCTGGTAGACACATCTAAGCACCAGTTGCTGAGTACAACCTGCTCCAAATGACTGTGAGCCCTGGACTTCCTGGAAGCTGATGTGGACCAGTCCAGCTGATGCGAGTGCCCCCTGTCTTTTCAATAGAGTCTGAAAGCCAGATTCTTCTGAAGAATGCCCATTGCCTGAACTCTCTCCTTGAGTTTGGCTAGCCTTTCAGCCTCCTGGGGCCTGATAACAATGCCCCAGTGTCAGTTTGAATTAGGTATAGAAAAGAACATGTTGTCCCATGCTCCCTGCCCGAAACAGGCTGAAATGCTGAGACAAGGGTACTCCCTGGAATGGGGAACAAAATGTCTACCCATAGTGCCCACTGACATAGCAGAAAAACAGGCCCAGATTGTCAATTGATAGATTTATTAACTAAAGTAACTACAATAAGACAAGACACTTGACCTTCTTCATACAAAGAGGTATTATAAGGCCCTAAAAAAACTATTTCTAGCCGGGCGATGGTGGCGCACACCTTTAATCCCAGCACTCCCGGGAGGCAGAGGCAGGCGGATCTCTGTGAGTTCAAGACCAGCCTGGTCTACAAGAGCTAGTTCCAGGACAGGCTCCAAAGCCACAGAGAAACCCTATCTTGAAAAACCAAAAAACAAAAAAAAAAACCAACAAAACTATTTCTATATATATCACTTAGGATTACAATTTGGCTGTACTCAAAGATCAAAGATACAGGGCTTTAAGAACAGCAATAGATGCAAATGTTACTGCCCTAAAAAATCTGTAGTGAGATCCCAGTACCACTGCCTTGAGCCCCTAAGCAAGCAGGACCCATGAATGGGTCCTGTCACCTGGTTCTTGTGAAAAGGGGGGAATGTGGGGCCCAGGGCAGCCTGACCACACATGTGAGGCCCAGCCCATGTGGAGCCCAGGGCAGCCTGACCACACATGGGGGGCTCAGGTCACGTGGGGCTCAGGATAGCCTGACCACACATGGGGGCTCAGGCCATGTGGGGCTCAGGATAGCCCGACCACACATGGGGGCTCAGGCCATGTGGGGCTCAGGATAGCCCGACCACACATGGGGGCTCAGGCCATGTGGGGCTCAGGCTGCACAGCTGCCATAGCAGCAGCACCGGGTTCCAGGAAAAGCCCTAAGCCTGCACCACACAGGAACAAACCATCCAAAGGAAAGTCCTAATGTTCCAACCACTGTAGATAGGATCACCTGCCAGCACACAGCTATTGCTTTTCACCAGGACACCCCTAGACAAATGTCAGCCAATCAGGGGTCCTGAGCCTTAGAAGTCCCTCACCCCTACCTCTGTTACTATAAAAACCCAACCCTAACTAAGCTCCAGGCTCTCTGATCACTCCAATATGTTGGACACACGGAGAGTCCGAGTTTGCAAACTTGTGTAAGAATAAAGGCTCTTTGCTTTTACATACAGGACTCGGTCTCCTAGTTGGTTTGGGGGGAACTCCATAATCAGGGCATAATATTAACTTGACCATTTTTGAAAGTGTGAACATTCTTGGCATTTAACTTGGGTCCCCAGCAAGGTCAGCCAGCTTGGACCACAAGACACGCACAGCATCCACAGCAGGTGTGCTAGAAACACCTTCAGTGATTCACACGCCACAGGCAGATCTACTTGAGGCCCCCTCACACACACAACTTTTTATTTATCCCAACCATTTTCTTTTACATCTCCTGGTTCTCTGCCCAACTCAAAATGGAGCTCCCGGCCCGGCCACAGGACCACAGAGCAGAGCACGGACAGAGAACCTGGGTCAGGAAGAAGCCACAGGGCTCCAGAGAGGGCGCAGCTTTGGGGCCTCTGAAGCACTTCCTGGGAAATGCAGCTGCTTTGGGAAGGGCTCTGCTGCTGCCATCTTGAGGCAAGGCCTGGCCTTCGTTTTGCTATCTCAAGAGTGCCCTCTTGAGGCTGTTTTGCCCCAAGACCTAGAAAACACATCTGGCAGACTGATTAGAGGCTGACCTCCCCAGCTTCTTTACTAAGGCCTGTGATATTGAACCTCCACCAGAGTCACTGTGGTGGGCACAAAGGCCTGAGCTCTCCTGAAGTCAGGCCCTGTGAGGCTTAAGGTTCCCATATTTGGAGAGCCCCCATATCACCTCTGAATTGGGGACCAGCCACTTCCTGGGAAGGTGTGGCTCTCCCTCTTGTGCTTCTAACTGCTCCTTTTCTCATTCATGGCACAAGGGATGTCTTCTGGGTAACAATCACCTCACCAGCTCAGGCTACCCAGAACAAAGTAAGGAGTAACGGTTCCTTTGGGGACAACTTAGGGACTCACCATGGCAGTCGGGAAGGATCCGACAGCAGACTCCAACTTTCTTCCAATGTCCTAACAGACAGGACAAGGCTCTCTTCTCCTGGCCATCCCTCTGAAGTCCCAGCTCCTGTTCCCGCTCAGCAAGCCATATTTAATTGTCTACAGAACAGACTAGCTTTCCCGTCTTTCTGTCTGGTAGGTGACCTGACAGGACCATGGCTCTAGGAGAAACTGCACACACCGTGCCTTGCCCCGAGGGAAGCCACGGTACCCAGAACACGACGACTGTGTGAGCATCAGCTGCTGCACTTCAGCCGTCCTCTCTCCCTCCCCACTTCTACCAGGCTGGAGACCCATTTTCACCGCTCTCCTCGCAGACAGCCTGGCCTTGCTTCCTCTGCAGTCGGCCTGACCTGAACACCAGCTAACCCACACGTGGCAGGAAGATGCAGGACTGGCACTGGCTGGGATTTAGCCAGAAGCAGGGGGCTGGCAAGCTAAACTCCTGAGGTAAGAGGGGCTAGGGCAAGTGGGAACAGGCCGGGATCCCAACCTCAGGACCCCCACCGACAGCTGTCCTCCTACCTGCCTGGATCCTTCTAAGCCAGTGTGTCCAGGGCCACCAGGCTGCAAGCCTGCTGGGGGCGACAATGCTCCTGTCCCACGCAGTCTCGGGTGGTGTGGCTGGCAGGGGTCCCTGTGGGGAAAGCGTGGCTGCTGTTGGCCAGAGTTTGGGGCGGGCAGTTGGATTCTGCGGGCTCTGCTGTGAGCTCCCGCCCAGAACCCCCACTAGCCTGGCCTGAGAACAGCCACGCTCGTTCTTCCCGAGAGCCCACCGCAGCGCCACTCCTACAGAAGAGTGTGGAGACAGCTGACTGCAGGACACTCTCCTCTTCTTCAGGCAGGTTTGACCAATGGCTGGGCCCTAGTAGCCGGGTAGGAGATGCATGCCTAAGTGGGGACGGCAGGCAGGGTTTCTTATAGATCCCACCAGTCCAGCAAGGCTAACTGTAGGCCTGGATGGGCTGGGGCTAGATTCTGTCTGCCTCCCAAGAACATAACAGAACTCACAGCCTGATACTTTACAGTGTTAGGAACCAGAAGGTGGAACTCCGAAATTACCCAGTAAGAAACGTGCTTACATGAGGGGCGAGGGCTTAGGGAAGCTGGCAAATTCTACACTAAGGCTCTAGAATCCTGGGGTAGGGATCAGGCCTATGATATGGGCAGGGGAAGCATCCTGTCTGATAAATGGCAGTGGGGCCCAGGCCTGTGTAGCTCTCAGCCCAGGTACAGATTCAGAGGTAAGGGTTCATGCATGGGGTCAGAGAAGTCCCCAGGTCTTCAGTTCTCAGTGGGGAAAGTGGAAGCCCTTAGTCCTAACACTTCCTGGACTCTGGATTTCCGGTTTCCAAGTGTCCTGACATCTGGCACACACCTTATGCCACTTCCTGCTTTTTGTCTTTCCTCCCATATTTAGATCCCAACATCAGCTCCCCCATCTGCTTTGAGGGCCTGAGCATTGTGGAGAATGTGGGTATTTGGATCCATGCCTGAGATTCAGGGTAGCAGGTGGGATCCCTGCCCAGGAAGGCCCTAAAAATCTAACTGCAGGGTCCTAACCCTGAGTCCTAACGGAAGTTTAGGCTTCTGCTCTCCAGCTCCAAGGTGTTGTGGGTTTCCAGCCTCCATACTCCATCCTTCCCTCAGCTCTGTTCTCTGGCTGGACACCTGGGGGGGAAAGGGTTAAGGGCAGAGGGCTGGGGTAGACAGCAGAGAGGCCAGGGCTGTTTGGCAATAATCCCTCTCCGTGCACAGGGTGTGGAGAACAAAGTTAGATCCCCATGTGGGAAAAGCTTCCACTCTGATCTACATGGGCCGGGCCGATGCCTTGGCCTCTGCTTCTGATTTCCTATTGGGCACCACCGGCTGGCTCTCCCTTCCCTCTTAGGCTCCTCACGGTCCTCGGTCCTTGGGCTTTCCCAAGTGTCTCTGAGCCAACCTGCTCTTTCCTCTCAGCCCCAGGTCCTCCTAGTTTCATGCCATCCAACTATCCATTCCGGTGTCTGTCCTCTGTCCTACGGTCTGGCTTTCCTCAAGGTCGGTGTCTCTTCCTTCCCCCAGCCATGCCCTCCATTTCTTCCTTGACACACCCTTCTAGGTTTTCACATCTGTTGGTACCGCTGCTTCATCTGCCCCTCACCCTCTCCCCAGGGCCTCTACCCCCTTGACACTGATGGATAACTTTGGGGTGTTAAGCTCTGGATTAGTTCAGGCAAAATTCTTGATTTTGCTTGCGTTCTTTTCCCTCTGGGTTATGTAAACAGTAATTCTCCCCAGATGGAACTATTTTCCTCGCTTCAAGGCAGTTGGGGAGGGGGCTCAGGCAGGGCGGGAAGGGACTCAGGCCCACAGGGATCCTCAGCAGGGTGGAGGCTGACTGAGGCCCCATCTACCACCTCTGTCTACAGGTGCCATGCCCATTACCTTCGTCCTCTGGCTTCTCCTTAGCCAGGCCACCTCAGATCCATGCTATGATCCAGGAGGGCGCCCTCGCTTTTGCCTCCCACCAGTGACCCGGCTGGCCGGCAGGGTAGAAGCCCCCTGCCCTCAGACCTGTGCTCCCCCTGCAGCCAGCCCTGGCTCTCCCTGCAACGGCAGTCTGACCCTGGACCTGGATGGCCCCTTCCTCTTGACATCTGTCACACTGCGATTCTGCACCCCGGGGCCTCCAGCCCTGGTTATTTCTGCTGCCTGGGCCCCTGGAGGCCCCTGGAGGCCACTATGGCGCAGGCCTGCCTGGCCTGGAGCTCTGGGGGGGCCCGAGAGGGTAACCTTTCGCTCCCCACCAGGCCCCAAGGCCAAGATAGTAGTCAGCCACCTCCGTGTGGAGTTTGGGGGCCAGGCAGGGCTGGTGACCACTGGGGTAAGAGGCCGCTGCCAGTGCCATGGCCATGCAGCCCGCTGTGCTGCCCAGGCCCAGCCCCCACGCTGCCGCTGCCGCCACCACACTACTGGCCCAGGATGCGAGAGCTGCCGTCCATCCCATCGAGACTGGCCCTGGCGGCCTGCCACACCCCAGCACCCTCACGCTTGCTTGCGTAAGTCGTGGGTACTGTCCCCAACCCTTCCACTACTTGGCCCCCTGGGACAACTTGCAATTCGCCCCTGTCCCAAAGCATGCAGAGTGCTCTCCCCTCAGAATTGCTTTGCTTTGCTCAGCCTCACACTGTGTGGTGACCTGGTTCCCTTTCCTTATTGGCCAAGGATGTCAGATACATACACCCCCCACACACAAACACACCTACCCACCCACCCACCCACAAAAACACACTTACCCCCCACACCCACACCTACTCACCCACACCCACATACCCCCACACACAAACACACCTACCCACCCCCTCACACACCCACATACACACCTACCCACCCCCACCACACCCATACCCACAAACACACCTACCCACTCCCACCCCCCAAAACATACCTACCCACCCCATCACACACCTACAAACACACCTACCCACCCCCTCACACACACACCCACAAACACACCTACCCCCCCCACAAACACACCTACCCCCCACACCCACAAACACACCTACCCACCCCCTCACACACCTACAAACACACCTACCCACCCCCTCACACACGCGCGCAGACACACCCACCCACACCCACGCGTGCAAACACACCTATCCCCCACACACACACACACACACACACACACACACACACACGAACCCCTCTGTCAGGGGCTCCACAAGCAGTCACCTGACACCAGAGCAGTACTGAGCAGAACATATCCCAGGGCCTGGTGTGGCACTGGGTTCGGGCAAGGGTCCAAGCACATACATTTCCTGACTCCTAGGGGACACAGCACAGAAATATTTAATTATAAAACATTATGATGGACCACCAGCTGCCAGCCCACTGTCTGCATGGAGATACTGTGACCACAATTCACTTACACAAGGTCACACAGGTACCAGGTATGAGCGTGGATCCCCTCCTGCTCAGCTCCCAAGGGCGCCATCATACTAGGTGCCCAGAGACTAGAGTATCCTGAGGGCTGCAGAGAAGCAGGGAGCCGGATGCACAAAGTGAGTACAGCTTCATCGCTCACTTGGGAGCACCCGCTGCCTGGGACACCACTCCCAGGCAGAAAGGAGAGTTGAGAAGACTGAGGGACTTGTCCTAGACGCTGTCACCCCCATTCCTCCAGCCACACTATCTGCTCTGTTTCCACCTGTCTGTGACCTCAGCCTTGTGGGTAATCAATGCACTGGCAGACAGGTGCAGACAGATGCACACATTCCTCAGCCTTTCAGGGAGGCCAGGTCCCAGCCTTCTGCCCTCCACCACCCCCGGAATCAGCAGGGGAGACTCACGTGTCCTGAGGCTGGGGAAGGCTCCATCCTGGGCTTGGATAGGGTCTGGGTGCTAGGGAGGCTGTATTCCTGAGTATGATCAGTTACCCAAGTTAAGAGAGGTGCAGCCCTGGGTACCTGGATGAAAGGCAGTGACACACTCCCGTGGCTTTACAGATGAGGCAGCTCCACCGTCCTCCACCTGTCATGTCTGCCTCTGCAGAGGTCCTGGAACAGCACTGCCATGCAGAGCTATCTAAACCCTTGGGGAGGGCACACAGCCTCACTAGACAGGGAGCAACAGAGGTGGGGGAAGGAGTGTCACTCTCTCAAGGACATGCAGCTGTCTCTACCTTTACTACGTCACCCCTCTGCTCTGCCCCAGGGGAGCTGCCAGCCCTGGCTCTCAGCCTCTAAATCCAGGTCCTGTCATAGAGGGCCCAGGTACTCTGATTTAACATCTCTCTGAAATTCCTGCTACACATACCAATCCCTGGGCCTGGTGATGCTGACTGAATTATTCTTCAATTTATGTGGGTGGGCTTTTGTTGTTTCAGTTTTTTTTTAAAGACTTATTTATTTATTATGTATACCGTGTTCTATCTGCATGTATGCCTGCAGGCCAGAAGAGGGCATCAGATCTCATCATAGATGGTTTTGAGCCTCCATGTGGTTACTGGGAATTGAACTCAGGACCTCTAAAAAGCAGCCAGTGCTCTTAACCTCTGAGCCATCACTTCAGCCCACCTCCCCCCATTTTTGACAGTGTCTCACTATGTAGCTTCAGCTGCCTGGAACTCAATATGTAGAGCAGGCTGGCCTCGAACCCATAGGACCCACCTGCCTTTGCTTCCTGAGTACTGGGATTAAAAGTGATCCACCATGCCCAGCAATTTACGTGATTAAGAACTAGCTAGGCAGCCGATATTAGTAGTGTACGCCTTTAATCCATGCAGGAGGCAGAGGCTGGCGGATCTCTATGAGTTTGAGGCCAGCCTGGTCTACAGAGAGAGTTTCTAGACTGCCAGGGCATCACAGAGAAACCCTGTCTCAAAAAACTAAAAGCACTAGCCAGGCATGGAAAAACTCTATTATATACCAGTACTCAGGAGATGGACGCAGTAAGATCATAAGTTCTAGGCCAGCCTGGTTTTCATGAGGCCCTGTTTCTTCTGCAACCAACCAACCAATGTATGAAAGGTTTCCTGGTGTTTCTGATCAGCAGTAGGGTATGTGAGATACCAAGGTCCCTGAGCTCACAGATAAGCACCAGAAAACCAGGTGTTAAACACAGGGTCGTCCCTTCAAAGGGAGGGAGGGATAACCTGTGATACATGTTATAACCCAGAAGCTGGGAGCAGCCCTGGTTAATATCCTGGTGACCTTTGCACTATCTGTGTGGCTGAGACCACACCAGGTCCTCCCCCAGACCCTTGTTTATTGTTTTCAGTCTGCAGAACCCATCTTTATGAAAGATGTCACTTGTACTTTACAGAGAGTTTCAAAGTAGTCATGTCTTAAGCTTTGTTGTGCACACAGGATTGAGTTCATTATCACCAGGAAATGTCACCAAACTGTGCCGTGCTTAACTCTGCCTAAAATAAACTCCTCGGGGTCAGACTCTCAAAGCTTGAGCCAGCACCAGTACTGAGTCGTGTTGAACTGAACTACCTTCTTGCTTCCCGCGGGTCGTTACTCTGCTGGCTGTGGTGGTTGCAGAGCAGCGGGGTTTGATAGTTACTACCTTCACGAATCTGAAAAATGCTCCCAGGAAAACACACGTGATCAACAATCTGTGGGCTTTGTGGAACCCTTAGGACACAAGCCCAGACGCTGCTTCTGCTCCTTCCTGGTTGTGCTGCCTCCAGCAGGTGACTCCACCTCTGTGCGTCATTTAACCTATGAAATGGGATGGTGGTGTCCAGGACTGTACACAGCAGTAGTAAATAGTGCCTAGCGCATGGAAGCACCATAGGCTCAGCGCACACTCCATGCTGGGTTCTAGGTTGAGCATGTTTATCTTAATCTCCTTGGATGTAAACACAGCAAATGTCATCCTGAGCTACAGGATAGAGTAGTCCCCTTCATGGAGAGGCAGGGGTTCCCCAACCTAGCCCATTCTTTCAGCACTATGGCCTCTCAGGAGGGTCACAGGCTAGCTAGTCCAATGCCACAATTTAGCATGAGAATTAAGACATCCTGGGAATGAGCCGAAGCCAGTTTCTAAAACCACAGATCTACCTTCTTTCCAAGAACAGGATGGTAGAGAGAAAGCTGGGGACGGGAGGTCGACCTGGCCCTAATGTGCCTGTATGACAGTTTCTGACATCATCTTATCCCCAGCCTGCTCCTGCAACCAGCATGCCCGACGCTGCCGATTCAACTCCGAGCTATTCAGGTTGTCAGGTGGCCGTAGTGGGGGTGTGTGTGAGCGGTGCCGCCACCACACAGCTGGGCGGCACTGTCACTACTGCCAGCCAGGGTTCTGGAGGGACCCAAGCCAGCCCATCACTAGTCACAAGGCATGCAGGGGTGAGTGTGGCCGGAAGCCAAGCCAAAGGGGAAAGGACACCGCTAGGATTCTGTACTGGCAGACAGACACAGAGGTGGGTGTGAGGGAGGAGGCTAGCTGCTCAGGTCTGGGGGATGGTTCACAGACTGTAGGGAGCCTACTGGTCCCAAATAGCTCCTTCCTTTTGTCACGAAGCCTGCCAGTGCCACCCAATTGGAGCAACAGGAGGGATGTGCAACCAGACCAGTGGCCAGTGCTCTTGCAAGCTAGGGGTCACAGGCCTCACATGCAGTCACTGTGGTCCTGGATACCAGCAGAGTCGCTCACCCAGGATGCCCTGCCAACGTAAGTCCACAGCACTTGACCCCATAAACACTGAGCTGGGACAACTGTACTGTGGCTTTGGGTGTGAGTGGATGAACTCTGATTGTTCAGAGAATCTGGGTCTGAAACTACATTACAGACTGTTCAACCTTGGGGAAAAGGCTAAGGTTTTGGGCTCCTTGTTCTTAAGAGGGAAGGGGCGGGTAAAGGATGGGTGCACCTTTGGGAGTCGGCATGCCTGGATTCCTCATGGTGATTCCTAGAGATTAAACTGAATTTCCCCTCTGCTCTGACAGGAATTCTGGAGGCAACAACTGCCCTTGCAACTACCCCTATTGCGTCTCGGTCTGGTAAGAGGCTGGCATAGGCACTGCGGGCAACAAAGGGGATCTGGAAAGGGCTTCCCGGGGCCGGAAGGGACCCAGCTCTCCTTTTAATATTCATTCATTCATTCATTTATTTATTTTTATTATTTTTTTCACTTGTTTTTTTTTGAGACAGGGTTTCTCTGTGAAACAGTCCCGGCTGTTCTGGAACTTACTTTGTAGACCAGGCTGGCCTTGAACTCACAGAGATCTGCCTGTCTCTCCTGTCTCTGCCTCCCAAGAGCTGGTATTAAAGGTGTGCACTATCACTACCCAGCGGTGTATTTTTCTTTCTTTTCTTTTCTTTTCTTTTTTTTTTTTTTTTTTGAGATAGGGTTTCTCTGGGTAGCCCTGTGGTAGAACTTGGTCTATAGACCAGGTTAACCTCAAACTCATAGAGTGGCCTGTCTTGGCCTCCTGAGTGCTAGAATTAGAGGTGTGTGCCTCCAGCCCTTCCTGAGGTGTAGACAGTCCAACTGCCTGAGGAAATGGGGTGGGGAGTTGGGTTGTGCGCCAGGCCATGGAGCCCACTGCAGAGAGCCTGACCCTCCCCAGACCCACAGTGTCAAAACTACTGCAATGTTTCGGACACCAGCGTGCATATGAGCCTTCAGAGATACTGCCAGCAGGATTACGGTAAGTGATGGAGAAAAAGGGGCTGCTTTCTTCCTGCCCTGCCATTTTCTTATTTTAAATGGGAAAGAATGTTAGAGCCCAAAGGACTCTTCCTTGCCAGGATGTACTGGAACAGAAAACAATGGTGGGGGACAGTGGGGAGGAACCCCTACCTTCTGTGTCTCCTTGTTCTCCTGTCGTCCGCCTGGCATCTGGAATGCTGGAGGAAGAGGGGCCTAGATGAACAGAGGGCCCTTGTTCTGCCTATCCTCCTTGCAGCTCCAGACGTACGAGGGCTCACCAGTCCCCAGTCCTGAGGCCCATGAACTCAGCTCTCATTCAGGAGTCAGGGCTAGCTAAGAGATACAAACCGACCAGTTACTTCCTTCTGTACCGGACCATGGCCCCTTTGCTCTCAGGATCATCAACCGACTTCCCTGTCACAAGCCTTTGAGGTGGAACTCCTTCCCCCCTCTTCTCAGGAGCACTGACCCACAGACCTTAACCTAGTCGCAGGCCTTGGCACTCAGTTCATCCTTTGGACCCCCAATTCACCCCAGACCCATCTCTCCCGAGGCCTCCACTCCTGGGGACCTTCTCAGCGTTCCACCAATACTCTGGTTTAGCTAGGAACAGCAGTGCAGGGCTCAAAGTCGCCAGCTCCCAGAAGGCTGAGGCAGAAGGACTGCAGTGAGTTCTGGATTAGTTTAGGTTACAGAGTAAGTCCTAGCCCAGCGTCAACACTTCACTATGACCTTGTTGCCAGAACAAGGGAATCCTGAGGCTATCGTTAATAGTAACACGGTCCCAAAAGCTCTAGCCAGCATTATCAGAAGCTCTCAGCAAACTCTCAGTGCCTGACCCGCAGCATCGTCCTGGACCTCCACTTCCCTCATCTTTCTCAACCACAACCCTACTTCACAGGGCCCTTAGGATCCTGATCGTGGACTTCCCCTCCCTCTCACATACACCACAGTGCCTTCCCAGCTTTGATCCTGGCCTCTACTTCATATATTGAGTGGTTCTCAACCTTCCTAATGCTGGGACTCTTTAATATAGTTCCTCCTGCTGGTGGTGATCCCCCCGCCCCCCAACCATAAAATTATTTTTGTTGCTGCTTCCGAACTGTAACTTTGCTACTGTTATGGATCATAATATAAAAATCTGTGCTTTCCGATGGTCTTAGAGACTCCTGAGAAAGGGTTCCACCCTAAAGGAGTCGAGACTCCACAGACTAAGAACCGCTAATCTTGACCCTGCCTGCCCCTTCCTACGCCATTTGGTAGGGTCTTCTCCACCAGGCCTGACCTCACCCCTCAGGGACAGCCTCCCTCCCGCTTGTCTGACGTGGTGCCTTCCCGCAGTTCTGCACACACAGGTTTCAGCGTCGGAGGCAGTGGGTCCTGAGTGGTGGCGCCTGGCCGTGCACGTGCTGGCTGTGTACAAGCAGCGCGCGTGGCCCGTGCGCCGCGGTGGCCAGGAGGCCTGGGTGCCCCGCGCTGACCTGGCCTGCGGCTGCCTGCGCCTGCGCCCGGGGGTCGACTATCTGCTGCTGGGCAGTGCTGCGGCCAGTCCCGACCCTGCGCGCCTCGTCCTGGACCGCCACGGCCTCGCGCTGCCCTGGAGGCCACACTGGGCCCGGCTGCTGCGGCGCCTACAGCAGAAGGAGCGCGGTGGCGCCTGCCGCGGCCTGCGGCCTCCCACACCCAGCCGGCCCAGCCGCTAAGCTGAGCCCAAGCGCCCCAGGAGCCATGCGGGGTGGGATTCGGCAGAGCCTCGACCTCGACGTGGGCGCTTCTCTGTAGAGCCAATCAGAAGCTGCGGCGCTCGTGGCGTCATTCCGCACGACGTTTAGCCAAAGGCTTGAAGCCGCATGCGGGCCTTCGGGGCCGAAGTTGTCACGGAACAGCCTCACGTCCGGTGGAATTGTGCCTACAGACCCCGATCCATGTTGGGAGAGTCTTTAGGAGGCGAATAAAGAAGGCCTTGAGTAAATCTGCCCAGCGGAAGTTCTAAATCATTTATCTGAGAGAAAGGGGCCAACGCTCTTAGAAAGGACTCCAGTGGAGACCCTGAGTGCTAGTTGGATTCCTGTCGCTTCGTGATTAACCAAAAGACAATAGGCTAGGGAACGGCAAGACATTTGACAAAGGTGCCCAGTGGTCTCATATCTACAAAGTTTGGCGTTCAGATACTTTAGTATTCTGATAGGTATTAAGATAGTCTCTGCAAAAGAAAAAACCTTGAATATCACCTGGTCTTGAAATATGGTGTAGAGCCATGGGGTACACATCTCAGCCTTGGCAGATGGAGGATTAGGAGCCCGAGGATTATCTAACAAGTGCTATTTGCAGATAAAACCGATTTATCTACATGAAGGGTTTGGACCTGGCGTGGCCCAGAGCAAGCACCAAATGAGTTTCCCGTTGTTATTTGAAAACCCAGAGGCCTCCCTGGCCTGCTACTCTGATGGGGAGGACCTTGCTGGGTGTGGAAGGCAGGGAGAGAGAGTTAAGGAAGTTCACAGGGGCTGTGGGAACCCTCCGAGCTATTGGGCCGCTGGCTGTGCTGCCTCCCACCCAAGAGCCTGGATGAAAGTGTGGCGCAGAGGGAGCCTTATGTGTTTCTTGTGACTCAAACTTTGTTTCTAGCAGCCGAAGCAATTTGGCGTGGAATCCACATCTGTGCCACTTGCCGACCAGACCCTTCCCATCCCTCCCTCAAGGCGCCAGCCCTGCCTGTCTGTGCACAATAATGGAGGTGGCACAGGTGGCTGCCAGACCTCAAAGGAGGCCCTTTGTCCACCTTAAAGCATAGCCAACTGACTTCACTGCGGTGGTGGTGGGGGCGGATCTCCTGAAGCCTGTATTTGTTCTGTGAGGACCTAGCCTAGAAGGGGGGGTGGAGTGGGGGGGGGTGGAAAGATTCAGAAACTGGGGCTGGGCCTGTAGCTCAACTCATAGAGTGCTTGCCTAGCGTGCGTGGGTCCCTGGATTTGGTCCCCCCTACCCCGCTGAAAATCAGGAGTGCTGGTAGAAGTCTACCATCACAGCACTGGAGAGCTACAAGTAGGAACTAGAGGTCAGTCTGGGCTACATGAGGACCCTCTCTCCAAAACAACAGCAAAACTCCAGCAACTAAAGGCAGAAGAGAGATTCCAAGCCAGGTATGGTGCACACCTGTAATCTCAGCACTTGGAAAACTGGGACAGGAGGAGCTGGAGTTGGGATTTGAGGCTAACCTGGGCTATACAGCGAAACTTTGCCTCATAAACCTATTTTTCACAGTAAACTATATGGCTTAAGAAAACAGGTATTAGCCGGGTAGTGGTTCACACTTTTAATCCCAGCACTTCAGAGGCAGAGGCAGGTGGATCTCCAAGTTTGAGGCCAGCCTGGTCTACAGAGTGAGTTCCAGGACAGGTCCATCATAATAATGAAGGGTGATATCTCAAATAATACTCAGGTGGTGCAGGATTGCCATCCCAGCCACACAGAACATTGAGGCAGGAGGCCAGAAAGTTCAAGATCTCTCTGAACTAGAATGAGTTCAAGGCCTCACTGAACTACATACTAAGAAACTGTATCAAAAGGACGCTACAAAAGGACTGGAGATGGACCTTATCTGCAGAACGCTAAAATCCCCTATTATGTCTGGAGCAACAGCAGAGCACCTGCCGAAAATTCCTGCAGCCAGGGGCTGGGGGCGTGACTCAACTATAGAGTGCTTGCCTAGCCTATATAAAAGCTTGGGGTTCAATTCTCAATAATGGGGAAAACAAACAAACAATACTTTAATCACACACGCTAAGACCCCTTTGTCGAATAAGGCCTTCTAGGTCCCAGGGTTTGTGGCGTTTTAGCAGCAGAGTGAACGCTAGTCAGTCCACTGCAGCAGATAACGCCCTTGCTGGCTCCTCATTCCACCTGTGGAATCGGGCAGATGCTGACCCCACATTATGGGCAGCTTCGGGGCTGAAAGGCACAGCTGGGCCTTTCTGCCAGTGTTCCTGCTTCTGGTATGTTTGTTCTGCTTGTTCCCCATGCCCTGGTCTACATTTTTCCTTTGTTTTTTGAGACCTGGCCCAGGTGGTCTCCATAAACTTTTCCACCTCACCATGTCTCCCTGCCTGCCCCCCTCTGTCTAGAGGCCCTCCAAGTCATTCGGTCTGTGACTGGCCCTCTCCTCTGCCTTTGTCTTTGCTCTCTGCATGAGTAACTATGTTTAGGGTCCTGATGTCCAGGTCTGTTTCTATGTTTCTGTCTTTTATCTATGTCCTGCATTTCCTGCAGAAATGGTCCTTCTATCCTGTCCCTTAGTGTCTGCCTCACCCTATGTCTTTCTTTGTATCTGTTTGGCTCTGTCTCTCTTCTTGCCTGCCCTCCTGGCTCCTTTAATCCCATGGGTGGGTCACTCTGCTTCAACCTTTAATGTATTTCTTTTCTTTTTCTTTTTGTTTTCCTTCTTTCTTTGTCTCAATTTCATTTTCAAGACTGGGTTTCTCTGTGTAACCCTGGCCTCCTGGGACTTGCTCTGTAGACCAGGCTGACCTTAAACTCAGAGATCCACCTGTTTCTGCCTTCTGATTGTTGGGATTAAAGGCATGCACCTCCACTCCAACTTCTAAAGTTATTTCTTGGTGCCTGCCTCTTCCCACCTCTTTGTCCTTCTGTGTCTCATTTATTCTCGTTCTTTGTGGGTTGCCCATTGTTTTGTTTAGACAAGCAAGGTCTTATTGTGCAGTCTAGGCTGGCTTCAAATCTTCACCCCCTGAATGCTGGGGTCACAAGTGGGAACCACCATGCTTGGTCTGTGTGTTTACTGTCTTTGTCTCTTTCCCTGTGGCCTGGCACCATGCTTTTCAGTGCCTGAGCTCTTGTCTCTCTGTCTCTATCTCTTCTTTCTGCATGGCATCTTGATCATTTTTTTTTTCTCTAAGCATGTCTCTGACTCTGTGACTCTAATGTGTCTCCTGCCTGGTTCTGAACATGAAGTCTCTCTGTGTCTCTCTTTCTCTGTCTCTCCCTCCTGACATCTTGCTCTCACCCGCCCCCCCCCCACACACCTTTCTGAGCACTCAGCTCGCCTCCAGCCTTCGCCTCACACCGAGTCCCCTAAGCCTCTACCTCCCCCTCCCGGCCAGCTGCCTTTCTGCACTCCAGGTCCCCAATGCCTAGTGGCATTCTGGCCTTGGCACCTGGAGCTGGGGGCCTCGGGCTCTCTCAGCTGCAGCTCCTCCCTTCCCAGGGCTGGGTCCCCGGGTGCGGCCCTTTTTACTGCGGAGGCCCCCAGTCAAATATCAAACCAGTGGGAGCAAGCGGGTGGGGAAAAGGGAAGCAGGATCAGAGGTGATGGGGGTGGGGATAGGGAGGGAGCGTGGGAAGAGGAGGAGGAGATGGAAAGAGGGAGAGGCAGCACTGGGCGAGGGAGGAGGTGAGGTAGAAAGGAAGGCTGAGTCGAACAGGGAGGAGGAGGACCGAGGGAAGAAGAGAAGGCAGGGTGAGGGAGGAGGCGGAGGGAGTGCACGCGGTGAGTGCGCGGCTGGGTTCGCTGGATGAGAGCGAAGAGGGGGTGTGCATCGGCACCAAGAGGGACCCGGGGCCGGCGAGACCGATCGCAGGTCTGGGAGATAGAACGAGAGCAGGGCGCCGGCCCAGGCAGGCGGAGGAGTGCGCTTCAAACAGGCACTGGGGTGCGCGGTCCCAGCCCCTGCATCTCGGGAGCTAGGTCTCCCGTGCTGGGGACAGCCAGGCTGGAAGTCCCAGGAGGAGGGAAGGGAAGAACTAGGGGGCTGGGAGCTGGGAAAGGGTCGCTCCGAGGCCTCTTGGATGGGGGGTGCGGCTCGCCTGAGCGCCCCTCAAGCGCTGGTACTCTGGGCCGCACTGGGAGCGGCAGGTAAGACCTGGGGGTCCGGGCAGTAGCCCCTAAGGGAGGAGCGGGGTGGGGTGCCTAGGAGAGGGATGCAGGCTGCTCTCTTCCTAGCTCACATCGGACCTGCACCTGATCCCGAGGACTGGTGGAGCTACAAGGAGAATCTCCAGGGAAACTTCGTGCCAGGTGCAAACAGGGTGGAGACCCGGAGCCCGACCCCGTTTTCCTAGGCGCTGTTTTCCCCAGACTCCAGACTTTGGGTCCTCGATCCTCTCATCTTCCACAGGACCAACGCTCCCAGCCCCTTCTTTCTTCCCCCAGGAGTGAGCCCCGGCCTCTGAACCTCAGCGGCTCACCATGGGACATTATACATGCGCATTTCAAGTAGTGAGTGGGAGTGAGTGCAAGGAAAGAAAAGTGTGGGGGTGGAGAGATGGAGGTGGTGTTTGCCGCCGGAGGCCGGTCCTATTCCTGCTGAAAGCACAGGCTCGGTAGCGGTAGCGCACGTCCCGGCCCCGCCCCTCACCCGTGTCTTCGAAGCCCTCTTCTGCAACTCTCCCCTAATACTCTAATCCAGCTGTGGGACTTGGGAGACTAAAAGAACTACAATTCCCATGGGGCATTGGGACAGACAGGAGATGAATTAGTTGGTTTCACCTCTGAGGCCTATTGGGAGTTGTAGTTCTGTTTTTACATAGCCTTAAATTGGGAACAATACATGGAGGAGTTAGGAGCTTCTGGGAAAGGATTCCAAAATTCATCTAGGAAATAGGATTCTGGCTTTTCTGTGCTTTTTTCTTAGCTTCAGATTTCTGCCCTCTTTCTTCAGACGGGTTGGTTATCCCTGCCCCAGTCCAGCACAGCAGATCCTGACCGGGATCCAGTCTGTTTCTGTTCCCACAGGGCCTCCCTTCTGGGGCCTGGTGAACGCTGCCTGGAGCCTATGCGCTGTGGGAAAGCGGCAGAGTCCCGTGGATGTGGAGCTGAAGCGGGTTCTTTACGACCCTTTTCTGCCCCCACTCAGGCTCAGCACCGGGGGAGAAAAGGTAAGGAGCCTTGCATTGGGGTGAGTTTGAGCAGAGGGCCTGTGCTGAGGCGGATGGTAGCTGTGAGGAACAAAAGGTACCAGCTGGGTGGAGAGAGGCGAGGCACCTCACTCTCTGTAGATCCCCTGTTCTTCCATTTCCCACTGGTTTCCTCGACTTCCCATGTTTGCCAAAACTGATGAAAACAAAACGCAACCCATGCCGAGCGTTTGAAAAGGCTAAACCCACGAATGTGCACAGGACCTACACGATAGCTGCCGTCTTCCCATCTTTAGTCTGTATTCTATAGTACACACACCGAGGTACCATTTCTTTAAGAGAGGCCAGAGCCTCAAAGTCATTTTCTAGTCTGTCCCTCAGTTCCTCAGATCTACGTTCACACTAGGCTCATAACAATCATTCCTGTCCTTTTCATTTCCTGCCCCTCCATCTTCCGCTCTTATCCAGTCCTCCCAATCCTTCGTCTAGCCTTCTGCTCTATAGCCTGTAATCCATTATTCAAACTAAAGCCCCCACTCCTATGTCATCCTAGCTACACAGGAGGCAGAGGCAGGAGGATCTCTGTGAGTTAGAGGCCAGCCTGGTCTACAAACCAAGTTCCAGGACAGCCAGAGCTGTTATTGAAAGAAACCCTGTCTCAAAACAAACAAACACAAAATGAATGAATGAAAGGAAGAGGAAAGACTTACTCTATAGCCTAGTCTGGACTTGAACTCATGGCACTCCTCCTGCCTTGGCTTCCTCGGGGCTAGGACTACAAGCCTGAAATAGTACTCCTGGTCCAGTACTTGTTAACCGAATTAATTCATCAGTGTTGAATACCTGTAGAAGACATGGTCTGAGTCTGGGGAGTGGCTTATGCCTAATCAATATTAAATTGTTGGACTCAGGGAATGGACGAGTGGAGCATGGGTGGGAGCCATCTCTCTCTGTGTCCCCAATAGCTTCTGCCTCTCCTGCAGCTCCGGGGAACCTTGTACAACACTGGCCGCCATGTCTCCTTCCTACCTGCATCCCGCCCTGTGGTCAACGTGTCTGGGGGTCCTCTTCTTTATAGCCACCGACTCAGTGAACTTCGGCTGCTGTTTGGATCTCGAGATGGGGCTGGCTCTGAACACCAGATCAACCACCAAGGCTTCTCTGCTGAGGTGGTGACCTCTAACCTATGACCCTCCACACCAAGCCACCCTATTTTTTTATCTTTACCTCATTCATCTACCAACGGCTACCTGTCCCCACCCTAAGTACTTATCCCTAATGCAATTCTGAACACCAAAAGCCTTAGTGTTGAAACCATCCTCTCGACCCCTCTGCTAAGGACCCCTTCTCCTTGTGCCCCTACTCCCCCAGGTGCAGCTAATCCACTTCAACCAAGAACTCTACGGGAATCTCAGTGCCGCCTCAAGGGGCCCCAATGGCCTGGCTATTCTCAGCCTCTTTGTCAATGTGAGGGAGGCAAGATGGGCAACTGGCTTCCAGGGTGCGAGGGCCAAGGGAGGCTGGGAGGCTAGGCTCCTTATTCTGGGGTGGTGGGCCTTTGGGGAGCCCTGGGCTGCTGTCTCCTTGCCTCATGCCCCCTGCATAGGTGGCTGGCAGCTCCAACCCATTCCTCAGTCGCCTCCTCAACCGGGACACCATCACCCGAATCTCCTACAAGAGTAAGTCCCCAAGCTTGGGGTGGAATCCCAGCTATGAGAGAGGCTGGGGAAGGAGGGTGACAAGGCCAATCTGGGCTGCAGAGTGGGTTCAAGGCCGGTCTGGGCTACTTAGTAAGATCCAGTGTCAAGACAAGAAGTGAAGAGAGTGGCTGGAGACGGAGCGTGGTGGTAGAATCTTGATTTGAACCCCTCAGTGGTACCTGCCTGGCATGCCTGAAGCCTAGGTTCAATCTCCATACTGCAACAAAAACAGCGAACTCCCCATGTATTGCTTGTGCACAGGTGGGTTCCCGGGGGCACCCTTTCATGCTGGTTTGGTATCCCCTCAGATGATGCCTACTTTCTTCAAGACCTGAGCCTGGAGCTCCTGTTTCCAGACTCCTTTGGCTTCATCACCTATCAGGGCTCTCTCAGCACCCCTCCGTGCTCCGAGACTGTTACCTGGATCCTCATCGACAGGGCTCTCAATATCACCTCCCTCCAGGTGACCATGTGTGCATGCTGCCCCATCCTAAGTACTGCATTCCCTGGGCTCCGACCTTCGCACTCACCCAAGTCTTCCTGTGCTTATTGAGGCAGATGCACTCCCTGAGGCTCCTGAGCCAGAACCCCCCATCCCAGATCTTCCAGAGCCTCAGCGGTAATGGCCGGCCCCTGCAGCCCTTGGCCCACAGAGCCTTGAGGGGTAACAGGGACCCCCGGCACCCCGAGAGGCGCTGCCGAGGCCCCAACTATCGCCTGCATGGTATGCTTCATGTGTACTCTCCTTCTCGATACAGTCCGCATTATTCCAGGGCTATCTGTGGGACACATTCCTCAGTCCGTTCTCCCACTCCCCACCGAGACACCTGTTTTCCTTGTGGTACAATTACATACTCATCCATGCCCTCTGCCTACCAGCACTTTCCAAGATGGTACGGTCCAAGTCACCTGTTTACAAATGGTATGACCCTACTTATGGCTAGAGTCTTGTCTTGGCTATCCCCTTTCTCAAAGTCAACGTGGTACAATCCCTCTGTCTTCTTCACTGTCCCCGGAAATCCTCTCAACAGGGTACGATAGTACAGTCCAGACTCCCATTTTTTCCCCCCTTCGTGTACAACAACCTAATCTGCACGTCCCATCTGACCCTCTTCCCTCCCTAAATGGTTCGATCCAGGTGCTATTTCCCCCAATTTGGTTTATTCAGCCTCCTTTAGCAGCCAGACTGTGGTAGAGCCTTATGTGCTCAGACTCCCCACCACAAGCCGGCGCCTTCTCTTGCAGTGGACGGTGGTCCTCATGGTCGCTGAGACCGCCCCCCCCAAAAGAGGATTACTCCCGCCTGTTCTGAGCTTCCTCACGAGGAAAGGGGAGTCACCCTAAAACAAAGCTATTAAAGGGACTGAATGTGTCCAGCTTCTCGGTGGTTTGATTTTCAGTCGCGATTGAGAAATATCAGGGTATTAAAAAAAATCTTTCCTGAAGCTCACGTCTTTCTGCTTTAACCTGCTGTAACTGGTGTTCTGCGTTTTTCCTCAAGCAACGAGCCCGTGTCCACGCGGCTGCTTTAAGAGGCACCCCCTCCTGTCCCACACTCGAATCGGGCAACACGCGCAGGCCCATGTGCTTCCCCTTCTTCCTGCCTCATTGGCTCGAAGTGGGTCACGGTCCCGCCCCCAGCGCCTCCTCTCATTGGCCAAATATAGGTCAGTGTCCCGCCTCCTTCCAAAAGGAGAGGCAACTTCACAAGCTCGAACCCCTCACGCGCCTCCAGGGTCTTGGCAGATCCCGTCACTTCATTGGCTGAGCGTCTCAAGGGCTCGAGATGTGATTGGCCCTTGCTTGAGGCCCGAGGGAGGCACTAGGCTGGGGTGCACGGCCCAAGAGGAGGGAGGGGGCCCAGAGGAGGGGCACGCGCTCTGGCGTCGGGTGTTTTGGTTTTTTTTTTTCCGCGAAAGAAGTTTGCTTTGGCCACGCCTCAAGGCTGCCGCCTCCTCCTGCCCCCCCTCCTCCGCCCCTGGGCGCACACCTCTGGGTGCAGATTGCAAAGCGCCTTTCCTTGCGAGAAGTGCAAAATTTTCAAGAGCCAGAGGTTCTTCCAGCTGGTACAGAAGGAGCGCGCGCCGGTGTCTCTTGGGGACTCTGAGTTGCAAAGAGAAAGCTGCTTGGTCCCCACTCGCCCTGACTATAGGATCCTCCCAGGACACTCGGGAGTTGCACCTTTCTGCAGAGGGGACTGGCTGGCTCTCGGAGATCTTAGGATCTGCAGCGATCGGATACTGGAGGCTTGCACGCGACTCGCTCCCGACCCTGGGACACACTCGCCCGAACCGCAGGAGTGTGCAGGTGACTGGCCTATCATCGTCGACTCTCCATGAGCTCATGAACCGGGGAGCAGGTGTCCGGCGATGGCGCGGCCTCTGAGCGACAGGACCCCGGGCCCCCTGCTGTTGGGAGGCCCGGCCGGAGCCCCCCCTTGCGGGGGAGCGTTGCTTGGGCTGCGGAGCCTTCTGCAGGGGACCAGCAAGCCCAAAGAGCCGGCCAGCTGTGAGTTCTAGTCTCACCGTCTTAAGGACTCAAATGTTGGGGTGGTGGTTCGTGGCACCTATGTGCTAGGTATCTCGTCTTTGCTAGTCCTCATTAGGTCACTCAGGTGTTTAGCCATCTCAGTCTCCCCGCGTCCATGGCCAAATCTGACACCTGGAAGGCCCAAGAGTCAAGTCCTCAGAGTCTTCCTCCATTAGGACGCAATCTAGGTGCCAGGCCCCCTCTGTCTTCCCCTTGGCCTCGGAGTCTGGACCCCTGGCGTCCTGGGGAAGGGAGGGGGTGTGTCGGGTGCTCACACGGTGCTGACACGGGCTTAGGCGGGGCCTCACGGGATCACGTGGAGACTAGAGACAGGGAATGTGCCTGAGCGGTGGCGCCCCTTCCTGCCCCGAAAAGAGCGTGGGGGAAGGGATGAGGGTGCCAGCGGTGGGGGAATTACTGAGCTGTTACTTTTTCTCTCTCACCTGCCCGACCTTTCACCCACCCTGTCTCCAAATCCCTCTTTGTAAACTTGCATCGTTTGTCTCTGGGTTTTTTTCTGACACTGTCCCTGTTCCTCTGTACACTTTCTCTTTCCTCTTTGGGTCCCTGTCGTCTTGTCCCTCTCTCTGGGACTCCCCATCCTCTGTCTGTATACCCCCTCCTCTTTCTGGGTTCCCGTTTCCCTCCTTGTCCCTACTTCTCTGGGTCTTTGCCCTATGACTCCCATCTCCTCACTTCTTTGTATTTTCGCCATGCGGGTTTCTATACTTCATCTGTAACTTGGGGTTCCTCCTGTGTGTCTCCATCCCATTCCGTCTCTCCCTGACCCACAGGTCTCCTGAAGGAAAAGGAGCGGAAGGCGACTCTGCCCTCAGCTCCCGTTCCGGCACCGGGCCTGGAAACGGCTGGCCCAGCCGATGCCCCGACTGGGGCGGTTGGTGGCGGTGGGTCCCCGCGGGGGCGCTCAGGGCCGGCGGCTGGCCCGAGTCTTTTTGCGCCGCTGCTGTGGGAACGCACTTTGCCTTTCGGCGACGTGGAGTACGTGGACCTGGACGCCTTCCTGCTGGAGCACGGGCTCCCGCCGAGCCCGCCGCCCCCCGGGGCCCTGTCGCCGGTACCCTCTCCGGCACGCTCGCCCGCGCCCTCCCCGGGGCCCGGCTCTTGCGGCTCCTCTTCCCCCCGCTCGTCGCCGGGGCACGCCCCCGCGCGGGCTACGCTGGGAGCCGCCGGCGGCCACCGCGCAGGTGCGGTGAAGGGGCGGGGCTGGCGGGCAGGGGACGGGCGTCGCCAAGCTTTTAGAAGTCTGCCCGGTGAGATGCCGTGATCCATTAGGGCACCTGGGCCCCCAAATGCGAGAGGGTTGTCTAGTGAGAGGCTGTATTTTTCTCTAGGACTAAGTTTTCTCGTGCTCTTGGAGCCAAGACTAGAAACTCAGACCACCTTAGTTAACTGGGGAGCGGACTGTCTCAAAGTCTCTGTCCAGATTTTGGGAAACGAGATAGGACTGGACTTCAAGGACACCTAAAATGGGAGCAGGCCAGAGCTGGGCGCTAGGTTCCCGGCTCCACCCCCTCCTTTCCAGTTGAGGGTGTTGCATTCTGGTTCTCAGACTCTTGAAGCAGAGAATGTCGGGGTCCCGATTCTGGATTGTCCAGAGGGAGCTCCCCATATTCCTGCAACGGGCACCTAGGATCTTAGAATTGTGGCAAAGGGCTTGTCAGCCAGTTCCCCCACGATCCCCCTTAAGTGCGGGGTGGGGAGGTAGGATCCTTGGAGATGTTGGAGCTGATACCAAAAGGAACAAGAGGGGAGGCGACCCCCCTATCAAGACAAGGAGTCTCGATGTGGGACGCCTGGGTACACCTGTCCCTGATCCGACCTCCAGGCAAAACACTGCTGCACATTCCCGCGCCACGTGAGTCCTCCTTCCCTGCTGCGCGCACGCGCTCTCACGCGCGAGGAGGCGGGGCCGGGGAACGTGAGGGTGCGTGGGGGGGGGGGAGAAGGGAAGCAGATGGCCACACGTGATGCAGCCCTGAACCGGTGTCCTCGTTTGGCCCCGACTTGTCTGTTCTTAAAGGCACAGGCATCTGCTTTTTTTTTAAGCCAAGCTCCTGGAACCTCGGAGCAGCTTCTGCTTTTCCATCACTCTTAGGAGTGAGTCTAACAGGTTTAAACTCTGAGCATACAGAGGATTCAGTAAGTAGAACTCAGATGAGAGTGGGAGCAAAGCTAATACCGAATCTGAAGTTTGGAGGTTTTGGAAGCTGCTAGCAGACTCACGGGATGTTTGTGCCTTACTCGTAAAGGTAGAATTATTTTCATGGAGGGTGAGGGTCTTTGTCATAGGGTTGATGCTTGACCGGCAGGCTTTGTGTTAAGTGCAGAAATTGCCCAGCGGTTTCTAAGATGGAGGGTGCCTCTAAACAGCAGCCCCCAAACTGAATACTCAGGAACTCAAGTGATGTGTATTTCTCCAGGCTTGACCTCCAGGGACACACCCAGTCCTGTGGACCCAGACTCCGTGGAGGTGCTAATGACCTTTGAACCTGATCCAGCTGACCTTGCCCTGTCAAGCATTCCAGGCCACGAGACTTTTGACCCTCGGAGACACCGCTTCTCAGAGGAGGAACTGAAACCTCAGCCAATCATGAAGAAGGCAAGGAAAGTCCAGGTGCCTGAGGAACAGAAGGTGAGCCGGTGTGAGGCATGGCCTTGATCAGGAAGGAAGCTTCTCTTTGGGATGAGGTCTCAGAGCCCTATAAGCATACCTGATTCATGAGGCTCCTAGGGACAGGCTTTGTCCTGAGAGTCACCGAGATGGTGTCACTGTGGAGTCCAGTCACACGGACCTAGAACCCCCATGTGGATCAGAGACCTCGTTGCCAGTTACAGCTTTCTTTAGCCTCCTATTAGCTCCTCAGCAGCTGGCCTGGCTGGGGCTGACATTGGCAGCCTGGGGCCTGGAAGTCACCTGTTACCAGCCATGTTCTAATTTGCGGGAGTTTCAGCAGCAAATGAATCCTAACGTTCTGGTTTTGCTCTTATTGGGGTCTCTGCTAGCGAAGAAGACTTCTCTCACGTCTTTGCCACGACCTTGTATTATAGACATCCAGCATCCAGTTCCCTCTTAAGTGGCACTTTCTTCTTCAGCGCTCAGCTGTTGCTAGGGAATGTGAATGAGTCCTGGCAGGCTGGGACCTTTAATTAGGAAGCTGGGTGGAGGACCCTTGGTATAATCCTCAGGGGAAGCATGAGCCTCCAGCTCTTCCTTCAGTTAGGTACTGGAGGGAGAACGGAGAGGGCAGACAGCCCCCCTCCATCAGTAAGGGCAGAAGGAAAGAGACTGGGTCGGATCATTGGGTCTACTTACAGCTCGTGTTTACTTACTGAGATGAGGTTGCCTTGGCAACCAGGACATGGCAAACCCCATGGGGAGGGGATGCTAACCAAGCTTTTCTTAGCAACCAGGGTCTGGAAAGGTGATGTTGTAGGGCAGTGTGCTCTTCCATGGGATAAGCCCCTTAGACCCTGAAGGCCTGGTTGCTAGGTAACAAACATCCTAGCAACCAGCTTTCCATAGGTCCTTGTCAAGTGGGAGGCTTGCTCTGCACAGTGGAGAATTGAAGACCAGGTCTGTTTTTTACATATCTGTGCCTGGAGTCTATCTGGCGTTTTACTTTCTGCTAGGGATCTGTTCTTAGCAGGTAGGGCAGTAGACAGCAGAACCTTGAGTACCTATCCCAGCACAGACCTTTAGGTCTTACTGCTGTGGAAGTGTTTCCAAACCTGCCACTTGTTCCTTTGTTGGATCTCAGTGCCTTTCCACTCCTCTGTCCCCAGGATGAGAAGTATTGGAGCCGGAGGTACAAGAACAATGAGGCAGCCAAGAGGTCTCGAGATGCAAGAAGACTCAAAGAGAATCAGATATCGGTGCGGGCAGCTTTCCTGGAGAAGGAGAATGCCCTATTGCGGCAGGAGGTGGTGGCTGTGCGGCAGGAGCTGTCCCATTACCGCGCTGTCCTTTCACGCTACCAGGCCCAGCATGGGACACTGTGAGGCTCCTTCTACCCTGCCTGGGCAGCGCCCTATTCCTTACTCAGACTTGCACCTGACACTCTTCCTCCCTCCTTGTTCCGTGGTCGATGGTCTGGCCAGCTAGGTGACCCCAGGGACGTCATGATACAAATACATTTATATTTTTTAAGAAAAAGCTAGCCTTCTCCCACCTCCCTCGTGGGGGTGGGGAGGGTCCTGTGTGTGCTCTTAGCACTTCGGGGAACCTGTCTACCCAACCGCCTCCGTCAGCACAATCCTGAATAAATCTTGAGAACCCAGGAGACAGCTCTTGTCGGGTACGAAGCAGCTACTGGCTCTGAGTACAAAGCCAGCGGCAGCTCAAGTTGGGTAAAGGACAGATGTCACTGAAAGGACCATCTGGTGGAAGGGCGAGGAAGAGAGCGACGCTTTTATTGCATAGACCTTTTCAATTGCTTTTTAGACCAGGGACACACAAGACATACAACATGAGAAGTGAATTTCCCACCCCAACCGGCAAGGGGTGGACCATTAGTGCAAATCCTGGGGGGGGGGGGGACCTGCCCCTTACGGGCTGATTGGCCCGTCAAACGGAGGCACCGAGTAGGCAAGAAACCCTGGCTGGCCAATGAGCTGAGGCCTTGCTAGCTCATACATTCCAGGCCCCACCATTGGACAGCAAAGAAGGCAGGCCCCACCCTCAGCCGCTAGGTCCTCTGGGAATTGAGGGTCAGGACCAGTATCTACCCCTGCTACTGTGAATCCTGGTATCCCTTCTACCTATAAAAGCCAGGCCATATCCTATGGTACTGTGGTCCCACCACCTTTTTTTTTCAGGCTCCTTTAAGTTTACGGCTTTTGACCCGCAGGCCCAGTGAGCAGCGTGGCGAGACTGGGATGCACCTGCGCCTGCATTGGCCCGTACTCCACTAGCTCCCCATCCACAGTGAGCACGCCACGAGGCGTGAGTGGCTCGAGGCGGAAAGCTCGTGCTGCAGCATAGCTCAGGTGCGGGCAGCCCAGGCTGAAGTGGTTCCCGTGCTCCATGGCCAGCAAAATACGCAGTAGTGCAGCTCGTGAAATGCCGCTGCGCACCCAGCACAGGTGCACCACGCCGTCATCAAATCGAGCATGTGGGGCGGCCACCAGGTCTGCACCGAGGTGGCTGGGCAAGATGGCCAACATGAGCACAAACTCGCCCTCTATTGTCACCCAGTCTGGGGGCAGTGGAGAGCCCAGGGGAGGGAGCAGGTGGTCAGATGGGCCCCAGGTGGAGACTTTTGGAGTATTGGAGGTGGGAGGCGGGGACCCCGAGGATGCTGGCATTTCTGGGGGCGCTTCACTGATGGGTGAAAGCTGAGCTGTTTTGGGAGAATTGGGGGGTGAAGGAAGCAGTGGGTCTGGGGACAGAGGTGCGTCTCCAGCTCCCCCCCAGTCTCCAGTCAGTTCTGGACCACCACCATTGAGGGAAAGACCAGGTAGAGGTTCAGGAGAGCCAGGGGAGGCCAAGGCAGGTTGGGGCAGGGGCAGGGGCAGGTCTGACACTGAACGATGTAGGGGCGAGTGGGTGGCAGCTGGAGCTGGGGCTGGGGCTAAGACTAGTTCTGACTTGGCTCGAGGCAGGCTATGGCCTGGGATGGGCAAAGCTGGCTCTGTGGTAGCGGGGAGGTAGGAGAGGCGTCCACGGTAGGTATGCAATGTGGCCAGGCCTAGCACTGCACCCAGTGTGAATCGAGCACTACCCAGGGCCCTGAAACGCTCGCTGTGAATGTCCACATCTGACAAGAATCCCCAGGCCACTGACAGGAAGGAAAAACAGCGGGATCCTGAGGCTAGCGTGACGGAGAGCAGGTCCAGAGGCTTGCTGCCACCGCGGCAGAGAAGCAGCGAGCAGTTGAGCAGCAGGTCAACACCGACAGCAGGCTCAAACCTTCACGGCCAGAGATGGGTGTCACAGGGGAAAGCAATGGGGAAAAGGACGGTGTGCCCACCAGGGAGCCATCCCCGCTAACAGGAAGAGGGGCAAGAAGCTGAAATGTCTCGGGACCCTGTAGCTCCAGACTCATCCCTCTTTTCAGCAGGTATCCCTGCTGTCTCAGAAGCCGTCAACATACCCGCCATGGTGGTTAACCGCCCCAGCTAGGGCATTGCCGGAACCGCAGGGGAGGACCCCAATGGGCATCCGAACGGCATCTTTCCAGTCTGGACGATCAAGGAGCCCGTTCAGCACCTGTGGTTGGGATAGGGCTGCCTGGGTCCTCGTTACCCTCTCTGGTTACCCCCAGAGCAGGGTTAGGGTGTTTGTGGCTTTACCTCATAAAGCAACCCATCTCCAGAAACAGTGACGATGCCTTCCCACTCACTGAGGCTCAACCCCTGGACCAGCTCACGGGCATGGTTCTGTCGTTCTAAGTAGACAAATAAAAGGGTTAGTCAAGAAGCCTCCTCATCCTGCCACTCCCCTCTGGAAGATCCCGGAGTATCCCTCCCCACCCTACCCCAAAGCCCCTACCTGTCTGTATGAGGTTAAAGGACAGTCCAGCCTCGGAGATCATGGGCACCACGTGGTCCATACAGCGCTGCCAGGCCAGGCCCCGCCCCCCAAAAGGATTAACCAATATAAGCAGCCTTGGCCTCCGGGGCAGCAGTTCAGGGGTAATTTCTAAGGAGATAGCAAGAGAAAGAAAGGGCTGACCATACCAGAGGCCAGAAACCAGAGCTCCTCCTCTTGATAAAGGAACCCCAAGTCAAGGGCAGGTACCCAGGGCCTGCTGGGAGCTTCCCTTCTGTCACCTGGCCGGTGTGGGCAGCCCAGGTTTCTCACTGGTGCTGAGATAAAGGGTTGGTTGTGAAAGCAACTATGTGCCCTTTGAGCTCATATGTGGGAGTTGGAGAAAGAAGCCTTGATCCCTCAGCACTGTTAACAAGCTCTGAGGCCTGGGAGGCACACACAGGAAGTGGGGCCCTGGAGACCTGTGTGGTAGCTCTCACCACCCCCAGTCAGCCTCCTGTCACACACCTGGGAGGCTCTCACTCATCTGTGGTCCAGGGAGGGTCAGACAGTACAGCCTAGAGCAGAAGACCTCAGTCTTCTGAGACAGACCCAGAACGACACAAGGAAAGAGACAGAAACCCCCTTGTGGCTCTTGCCCCGCATCTCACCCTGCTCCCCAGACAGAGGTACTCCTCGAAGGAGACACATGAGGGCAGTAGCCCAGCGCTGGGCCTCTGCACGGTTCTCCTCGTAAGTGGCCGCGCCATCAGCCCGGAAGGTCCGAATAGCTCTGCATCGGCCCCCGCGCCGGCACCGTGGGTAGGTGTAGACACAGAAGTAGGCTGCAGTGTCTGAGGGGCTGCGGCTCTGCAGAGTGCCACAGCCTGAGACCTCTGACAGAGGGACTAGGCCATTACGGGGCCGGGCTTCTGGCTTTGGGCGCAGCCGCTGTATGTGCAGGGCTTGCACTGTAAGGGTGAGAGCAAACCGGGGGCCATGGGCTGGGTAGGAACCAAACTCGCCGTGCAGGATTGGAGTACTGGAAGCCAGTGGCAGTGCTGGTGGTGGGGCCATGACTTCAGCCCTGTCCCAAGCACTTCTAGACCCCTGGCTTGTGGTCAGCTTCTGGTCCAGCCTCTGTGGGGAGGGAGAAAGACAACGGTCAGAGTCCTGCATCCTCGCCGTAGGTGGGAAGGGGCTGTGAGGAGGAGACAGTATGGGAAGGGAGCACCATAGACAGACTCAGAAGAACGTGGGGAGACCACATGAGGCAGGGCAGAAAGCATGGACACACTTACTTATCTTTCAAGACTCTGTGTGCAACAACTAGTTAACAGCCAGCGATACCTTATTTCCGGAAACAACCCCACCCACAGAGAAACAACAAAAAACCCACACCAATCAGAAGACAAGAAAGAGCAGGGCCATGGTGGTGCACACCTTTAATCCCAGCCCTCCGGAGGCAGAGGCAGGTGGATCTCTGAATTAGCAGCCAGCCTGATCTACAGAGCGAGTTCCAGGACAGCCAGGGATACGCAGAGAAACCCTGTCTTGACCGCCCCCCCCCCCAAAAAAAAAGTGGCCAAAGGCTAAGTAAGATACATGGTATACTGGGTGATGGCAAGGGCTCGAGGGAAGGGGAACAAGACACAGAGGGAAATTGCATGATAGAGACAGGAAAAAATAGACTGAGACAGAAAGACACCGTCCCCTCCCACACACTGAGTCACTGTAGGTAGAGAGTGGAGAACCATGCAGACACACAGGCACAGAGAAGGAAGGGACAACTCTAAGAAGCGGGAAACACAGGCCAATAGGACACTTAAAAGTTTCTCACCCCAATGAAGAAAGCAACAGACAGGAGAGAACAGGCATGACACCCAGAGCAGTCAGAGGGCAGCCACATGGGAGTGACCAGGGAGTGGCCAGCCACCAGCTGGTTTGTCGGGAAGCACTAACCTGGCTGGTCAGCCGCCTTCTCTTCGAGAAGAGGGTGGGAGCCAGGGCTGAGCCCCTTCTGCTGTGCAGAAGGTCCAACCACTTAACTGCTCACCTCTGGGCAATCTTACCCCGTCACCTGGGACACGCCCCCATGGACACTGTCTCTTGGGATCTACTTCTGTCTGCTCGCTGCCCTGGGCCGCTCTCTTAAAGCCCAGGTTATCTACCCCGCCCTCAAACCTCCCTCAAATCAGATACCAGCACAGAGTGCTGTACATGCTCCATTCTGGGTTGGGTCTCGGCCTCCCGGGACTCCAGATTTGGGCCTCCATCCACAGGTTCTCCCTCTGTCCCTGGTGTGTGTACCCTTACTCCAGGGCCGCAACGCAGGCCCGGGTCTGGGTCTCTATCTCAGGCATGGCCCTGGTTTGTTTCCAGATCCCACCTAGTATTTCGTCTGGACCTGAGTGTCCGCCCCTCTAGGGTCATCCGGAACCCCACAACCTGCGCGCACGCCGCGTCCTCCCGGCCACCCCTCCAGAGTCAGCACTACCGCCCCCATCAGATCTAGGGGTGGGGGGAAGGGTGTGCGCCCGCCCAGCCAATGCCTGCGCAGCCAGTCTAAGCCGCACCAATGAGAGAGCAGGGAGGCGGGGCCATCCGCCTCCGGAACTACGCGATGAGACCTGACCGGTCGAGTGAGGAAACCGGGAGGGGCTACAGCCAAGCAAGGAGGCCCCATCATAACTGAGGGCACACACTCAGCAAAGGTAAGGAAGTGGTTCGAGGCAAAGCTTAACTCGCCATCTTTGTTGAGGTCAAAATGGCCTGTCCCAATAGAGTTAAAAAAAGAAAAGGGGCGTGGGGAAGGAGTTCTTCCACGGCAGAGAACAACTCTAGTTAATGTTGGTAACAGGGAAAGACAGAGCAAAGCAGAGATAGAAACAAAGAAATGAAAACATTGAGATTGGGGTTGCTGTGGTGGTACCTTGTAATTCTAGTACTTGGGAGGCTAAGGCCGAGGCATGTAGTGTAGGTCTGCCTTTGCTGCGCATATGTGACAGTTAGGTGACAACTTGTGTCAAACAATGTAACAGTAACAAACCATAGGTGGAGACAGTTCTGGAATAACAACCAGGATGGGGAAGCTCATTAATTTACAACCTCTTTAGCTTGGACTCCAGCCATAGAGGAGGCAGAGTGAGATTAACATCTGCCCAGGAAGCCACCATGTGACAAGACAGAGCCCGGAGGCAGGAGGGAGAAAGCTTTAGAAGCCCAGGGGAAAGAAAAAAGATGTTGACAAAAACAGGCAAGACATGGTGAAATGAAAGCAAAGAGCAAAAGAGTGGACAGCTGGGGGCTGGCAGAAATTGAGAGACGACAGCGTGTGTGTGCGCGCGCGTGCACCTGTCCAAATGCACCTCCCACACGTGGGGTGAAGCCGGCTCCCACTGAGCTGCACTCTCACAAGGCAGGGACAAAGCTTCACAGACATGGCTGGATAAGCGAATGTGGCATTCAATCCCCAGCAGCAACAGCCCCAGATGAGTGCTAAGGAGGGGGGTGGACCCCAGTGAAATGGGGACTGGGGACACAACGACTGAGCTCTGAGAACAATTAAGGCAGAAACCATGACCAAAAGAGAAGGGGCCGAGATCTCAGCAGAGAAAGGGAACAAGAAAGGGGAAGTGTTGGCTCACAAAGTCTCGTACACTCACCCTGAAGAGCCTCAGTTCACTGTGTCAGAGAAGAGGTCTAAGGCGGATAATAGAGATTCTGGGGCACTGCGGTCCCTCATGCTGTGCTAACCCCAACCCTCAAAATTATTTTTGTTGTCACTTGATAGCTGTAATTTTGCTACCAGAAATTGTAATGTAGCCAGGCGGTGGTGGTGCACGCCTTTAATCCCGGCAGATCTCTGTGTTTTCAAGGCCAGCCTGGTCTACAAGAGCTAGTTCCAGGACAGGCACCAAAGCTACAGAGAAACTCTGTCACAAAAAACCAAACAAAAAAAAAAAAAAAGAAAGAAATTGTAATGTAAATATCTGATATGCAACCCCTGCGAAACGGTCCAAGAGTGGCAACCACACGTTGAGAACCATGGCTCTAGCTAGAGCCTTACCTGGTTCCATTGCCCCTTGGATTCATGGTGTCCGGTGGGCAGCCAATTCTCTGCTCTGTCACAGCAGGGCCTGAGCCCAGCACAGGAGGTTACACAGGAGTGTCTGGGTGGAAACTTCTGCCTTCTCACTGTGCAGTCCCAGGTTGCAGCTCTGAAGACCAAGGGTACATTGCAGGCTCAGGGTCCCAGAGCTAACATCTCCCATCCAGCTAGCCCACCTTGTCCTCCCAAGTTCCAGCAACTGATTCTACCTAGCACTGCGAACAAAGTGTTGACTGAATGCTTAGAGACCGACACGACCAGGGAAGACACCCTGTTAGGATTATTATCACGAGGAAAAACATAGAAAAGTGACTTACCCAAGGTCATAATTTTAAACAACAGAGTCAGGCGCTGTAAAACTGTGGTCCCAGCTGTAGGAACCATAACAAGCTAAATAGAAACAGACCACCCAAAGGAAGTTCTTTACTTCCCAACTATTATCATCTGCCAGTGTAGGACTCAGCCATCAAAAGTTTAATGGAGGCCTGGGTGTCAGCAGTTTACCCTGAAGCAATACCTGGTTGCAGGACCGATAAACTGAGATTACCCAGCACCACCCAAGAACAGACCATCCAAAGGAAATTCCTAACTTTCCAACCGCTGTAGATAGGACACCCCTAGACAGATGTCAGCCAATCAGGGGCCCTGAACCTGAGGAAACCCCTCATCCCCACCTTTACTACTATAAAACCCCAACTCTAAGTGAGCTTGGGGCTCTCCGTTTATTCCAATACGTTGGACATGTGGAGAGACTGAGTTTGCAAACTTGTATAAAGTAAAGCCTCTTTGCTTTTACACATGGGACGAGGTCTCCCTGATGGCTTTTGGGGGACTTCGCGGATTTGGGCATAACACCAGCTACATGGGAGGCTGAGGCAGAACGACTGAATCAAGCCAGGATGGTCGGCTTTGTGAAACCTTGACTTTAAAAAAAAAATAACAAAAACAAAAACCAGCCTAGTCTGAGTAGTTGCCAATTTTCCTCTATCTCTCCTTCGGCAGAGGATTCCCTGGGGTTGTCTCCTCATCCTCCCCCCACCCCCGCCATGGTCTCTAGCTCTTTCTCTCCGGGGCAGTTCACTCCTCAGGAGCCTGTTATCCAGCCTTTCCACCTAGATCCGATCCCGGCCGAGGCTCCGCATGCCTTCTCTGCACATAAATACTTTGTATATCGAAAATGTTGCGACAGTTCAAACTGACTGGTCGAGAAAACAAAAAAAAAGAAAAGAAAAATACGTTCTCTGAGGAAGTAAACTAAGGAGAGATTGGGGAAGAACCCACTAGGGCCAGGGGAAAAGCTGAGCCCGTATGGGGTGGGGGGTAACTATAGGTTGAATTGCAGAAGAAAGTCTCAGGTTAGAGACCTTGTAGGGCTTCCTGAACTTCAGTTGCATCCATTAAACTGAGCATAAGGGAAAGGCAGCTGCGGACCTAAGGAAATTTCCGGAAATGTGAGATTAGCTTTTTCTTCAGGCCGGGACAAGCCTCACCTCGAAAACACAGCCCACCCGGTCCTCCGGGAGCCACCGAGAAGCGGTCGGCCTGCGGCCAGAGCGTCACTGCGAGCTTCCTCCTGCTAACTCCAAGCATATCTCTGGCTCTCGGGTCCCTTTATCCTGAAGAATACAGAGAACAGGGACTGGGTCAGGCTAGACAGGCTCTCGGCGTGCCGGCCCTTTTCTCTGGTGTCGCATTGTTTTCTCTTCGGTGGTTCTGTGGGACTCTGTAATGGGTCATCTACTATACCATAGAGAAGCCCAGGTTGCGGTAGAGCGACGCGTCGCGCCCATGTGACGTCGCCAGTACACCACAGAGATACGCTCCTCGGGATAGAGCGTCCCCTGCGCGCGTCACGAGTGCGTCCCGCAGGGAGCCCTTTCCCCGCCCACTCCGGCGGAGTTCTGTCTTTCCGGACCAGGCCGTGCAGGAGGCGCCATCATGGTGAGCTCGCCTAGTGGCGCTCTCGGCTGTCCCATCCGCTGCCATCCTCAGCGGAGCCGGGACGCAGCGCGCCGAAGGGGCGCGGGTGGCCGCGGCTTGTGCCGAGCCAGGCCGGGGGAGTGGTAGAGGCCTCCGGCCGGGACGTGGCGCCGCCGCCAGCGGCGTCCGGCCACGGGCGCCTTCCGAGGCTCGTCTAATTTACGAAGTTTTGCTCTGTAGCCCAGGCTTCCAGGAAGCCAGTCCGGCCTCGAACTCACGGCAGACCCGTTGCCCCGGCCTCACAGCGGAGAGTGGAGTTGTGTGTTCCGGGCTTGGGCTGTGCTAACTGGGACAGGGACAGTGCCCGCCGTCTTTTCGGGCGGAAGGGGCTGTAGTAATCCCGTCCTTGCCCTGTGAGTGGGGGAGACGTTCGCGAAGGTGCAGGTTAAACCGTGCTGTTAGCACTTCAGTAACTACTGTTGGGCAAAGAGCGGGATAAAATCAGCACCGGGCCTTCCTAGGACTGTCTTGAAGTAGATAACAAAGTCTCACTTGGTCGTACATAAAGATATTTCCGTGTCCAGAATGGACTGTTGGCTTGTTTTGACTATTTTCCAGATTTGGGGTCGGTTTTGAGAGCATTCTTGTGAGGATCTGAGCCCCCACCCGTACTGGGCATAGAACCAGGATCTTATGTGATAAGCGTGTGCTAGGTAGACTGAGCATCTTGTACATCTTCGGTTTTATTCCAAGACAGATTTCCCTGAGTTTTGAGAATTTGGGAGGAATGATCCCATATCGTGGGCGGGTGATGTCAAGTAGGAGCACCGTCCTCCCCAGTTTTAATCCCCCTGGGTGCTTTTGGGATTTTTTGTTGTTTGCGGAACTTGCTGGCAGTAATTCCAGGTCCATTGCTGTCTCTTGCTACTCTGGACCACTAAGATGAGATTTGAATTTTTATATTACGAATATTTGAAACTGCTTGGTGGTGGGCCTGGGGTTTGACTTGACTGAATAGCCTGAAGGATAAGTAACAATTTCATTATGTAAGTCAATCAAAGGTAAAGGGCAGCCAGGCAGTGGTGGCACCCGCCTTTAACCTGAGCACTTGGGAGGCAGAGGCAGGCGGGATCTCTTGAGGACAGCCCTGTCTTGGAAAAGAAAAGTTTTGATGTGGGGCAGTTATCCTGGTTAGGCATTGGCTCCATGGCATTCTTTGACCTCCCACAGGGTGTTGACATCCGCCACAACAAGGACCGAAAGGTTCGGCGCAAGGAGCCCAAGAGCCAGGACATCTACCTGCGGCTGCTGGTCAAGGTAAGCTTCTAGATGCCCGTTGGATCAGGGGAGGGTGGGCCAGAAGTTGGACCAGAAGGGTTTGGAGGGTAGCCGTCATATGATCGCTCTTCTCACCCCCCACCCCCAGCTGTACAGGTTTCTGGCCAGGCGAACCAACTCCACCTTCAATCAGGTTGTGCTGAAAAGGTTATTCATGAGTCGCACCAACCGACCACCTCTGTCTCTGTCCCGGATGGTTAGTACCTGGGCAGGGGAACTGGGTCTGGAGTGGGTGTTTGACACCAGACATCACAGGGCTCCCCCTCTGCATGGTCGAGGCCAGCAGGGATGAAGGTGAAGAACTCTGTGCTTGGGCTCCACTTTGCCGCCCCAAGTGACAGTCACTTGTGCTTTTTTTCTCCCTGGGTGTTTCTCTGCCTTGGCTGACTGCAGGGAGAGAAAGATGGGATCACAGGCCTCTAGCAAGGCCTTCAGAGTGACTTAACCTGTTTACTCCTCTCAGATCCGAAAGATGAAGCTTCCTGGCCGAGAAAACAAGACAGCTGTGGTTGTGGGGACGGTCACAGATGACGTGAGGATTCTCGATGTGCCCAAACTGAAGGTAAATGACCAGCGAGAACCCAGAGAACATCTCTCCAGCCAAACTGAAGCTTTGCTGTGGGGTGCTCGCAGCATGCCATTCCCTCACCATTGTGTGTGGTGCTTGGATTCCCTTTAGTCCTAAAGCATGGGGGTGTTGGCAGTTGGGTGTCAGAGTCTGCTGTGTGAGGGTGTGTGGCCCTCCACAGCTCCTAGTGTCTGCCCCCCTCAGGTGTGTGCACTGCGGGTGAGCAGCCGGGCCCGAAGTCGCATCCTCAAGGCTGGGGGTAAGATCCTCACCTTTGACCAGCTGGCCTTGGAGTCTCCCAAGGGCCGTGGCACTGTGCTCCTGTCTGGTAAGTAAGGGCTGCTTTGGCATGCCAAGGTTTGGGGAGCCTTCCATCGTCAGAGTTCTGGTCTCTGCTTAACCTCTTCTTCCCTGGCCAGGACCTCGGAAGGGCCGAGAGGTGTACCGGCATTTTGGCAAGGCCCCAGGAACCCCACACAGCCATACCAAGTGAGTATCAGGCTAAGGACTCCGGCTTTGTCCCCTGTGTAGCTTTTAGCTGCAGTGGCTGGTACGGGGTTGTCACAGCTAAGGGCTACCCAGAGCCTGTGCCTCATGAAGGCTCTCCTAACCCCAGAATAGGTTCCCAGCATTACAGGAACAGGCCCTGTTGGCCTCTGTGAGCTGGGCTTCTCTGACCCACACCTTCTCCCCACAGACCCTATGTCCGCTCCAAGGGCCGGAAGTTTGAACGTGCCAGAGGCAGAAGGGCCAGCCGCGGCTACAAAAACTAACCCTGGATCTTACTGTTATTAAAAAGCTTTGGATGTTGATGGTCCTGTGTGTTCATTAAGTTGGGATGGGGTGGGATGGATTGAGAGCCACCAGTGAATGTGGCAGAACATTTGATTGGCACAGGCCCAGCTCTGGGGAGGGGCAGTGTGCAGCCTCTGCCTGTTGTTAGAGCTCCGCCTATGCTGACTATCAGGTGTCTGCTTCCTCCTAAGATTAGCCTTTCCCAAGTGGTGCTGGGGGTGTGGGGAAGGCGTGGGAACAGGTGAGGCACTCCCCGGGAAGCTGGTGAGACAATGGCCAGTCCCTGAGCGAGGTGCCCAGTAGGCCCTCCCCTGCATTTGCACAAGGGGCTGTGTCCTGACTCCAACGCCCAGCTGGGTGGGGAGTCCCGGAAGAGCTACATAGGAGAAGGACAGCAGCTCTAAGCTGGTCCTAGGCCTCGGGGGCCCAGCGGGACTAGCGCACACAGATGGGGAGACCTGCCCTTATTCCCGTTCATCTGAGCTGTGTGATGCCAGCTCTAGGCCGGAAAGGTACATGGGGTGGGAGAGGGTTCCTGTCCAGGAAGTAGGGTGCAGCCAGGAGACCTTGAGACAGGTAGATATCCAGGCTAAGTTCTGGATCAGAGGATGAAGACAGCCCTCCAGTCTTAGGGGTCATGGCAGGGGTATACCTCCTGAACCTGGGAAGTCCTCTGAAGAAGCCTGGCAAGTGCCTGGGGGAGAACCATGGATTCCTTCTGTCCCCATGGAGGACCTAACTGGGAGGTGTCTCATTAGCCTGTGGGAGCTGGTAGGCTCGTCAGGGGTTAAACCATGATCTGCTATGCAGCATTGAAGAGTCGGTATACACCATAGACGGCCCAAGTGACAGGCCTTGGAGCTGCCGGTTATGGGTTATAGGCAGTAGGACAACCAGGGACAGGCAAACAGCCATTTACCTGGAAATGGTTGGGCAGGTAGCCAGAATTACCAGGGCAGGCAGGTAATCAGACAGGCCAAAGGTCACCTTAGACCACTGTGGCTCCAAATTGAAGGTAGTCCTGCAGTTTGGCAGAGGCATCCCTTCAGTGTAGCACAGTAGGAGAGATGGCCCACTCACAGGTGGCCCTTGGGCACGTGGTTTTTAGATAGATGGTGTAAGGAATATGGACAGTCCACAGGAATTGAGTTAGGGACACCTTCAGGGAACTGGGTGTTCACAGGGCTACCCTGGGTGGCTACACAGTATCACAAGACCCCAGATGCTCAGACCCCAAAAGCCATCCAGACCTTTCAAGAACTGGCCTCTTGATCTTGTCCTGTGTGGCTCCAATGGCGGCCTCCCAGCTGGCCGCACTGGAAGGAGAGGGGCTGGAGACTGAGCCAGCCCTGACCAAGGCCAGCCCTGGCTTTTTGTACACTGAGGGCCAGCGACTAGCTCTTGAAGAACTGCTGAGCAGTGGGGAAGAGGCCTTCCGGGCCTGCCTGCAGCAGGAGAAGCTGCCCCCCTTTCTGAGTGCAGATGAGGCTCAGGCCCTGGCTGCAGCTGCTGAAGACTGGACAGTACCAAGCCAGGAGCCATGTGGCGCAGGCCCAGGGACTGCTCTCACCGATGGGGACATTGGCAGCCTGACCTACTGGCCAGGGCAGTCTGAGGAGCCAGCACCGGTGCTGCGGCTGGGCTGGCCTGAGGACACGGCCTGGAAGGGCATCACCCGAGCTCAGCTCTATACCCAGCCGCCAGGGGAGGGCCAGCCACCTATTAAAGAGCTGGTACGCCAGGAGATCCAGGCTGCTTGCAAGGTGGGTGTCACCGCATCGCCAGTCCCCCATACCTCCTTGGAATTTGCAAGGCTGTTCCTGAATTCCTCTGGTCCATGGACTTGGAACCTAGGGTTTATCCCTTTCCCTTCAGACCTGGAGACCTCTTACTGAGACCTGGTGTCCATGCTTCTGAAGTTGAGTTGTGACCACTTGTGTCTGCCCCTTTTTGTACCAAACCTCCAGGAAAGCCCTGGGGGTGGTTCCCCACTCTGTAGCCCCTCGAAGCCCGATTTCTTAGGGAGTCTTGGCGTTTCCCTGACTCCAATACCAAGTGGTTTACATAGGTTAGTATGTACAGCCTTTCACGATTCAGTTTATGTTCTTTAAACTGACTGACCTGGCTGGTGACTCAGACGCCATCACAACCTCGCCTGCCTACAAGGCCGAGCTCTTGGCACGCCTTGGTGGCCTAGCCTTCCTGACCTCTAGCACCCAGCCTTGTCCTGGAGCTGGGAACTTTTTGAAGAGGGATCTCCTAAAAGAGCTGCCTGACTCACTCCATGCAGGAGAGAATGTGTGGGTGTCTCCCTGCAGCCCCTGAGTATCCCGAGGAAGCCAGGTCTTGAAGCATGTCTCCAGAGCCCATGTCTGCCTCTTCCTTTCTCCACCCTAGTTAGTGGCTGTGGTCATGGACGTCTTCACCGACCCTGACCTGCTCACAGACATGGTGGACGCTGCCACACGCCGCTGGTTACCTGTCTATTTACTGCTTGACCGTGAGCATCTGCCTGCCTTCTTGGCACTAGCCCAGCAGCTAGGGGTGAACCCCTGGACCACTGAGGTAGGGGCCAAGCCAGAGGCATCTAAATGTCTCTAGCCCTCAGAGGGGGACTTTTCCATGGGTTCCTAAGTCACTGGGGTTCCCTAAGATCTGAAACCCATGTTACTGGGAAAGGGGGTGACTGTCCTAAAGGGATACTTGAGTCAGAGCTTGGTATCCCCAAATCTAAGACTTAGTATCAGTGGCCCTATGGGATCATAGAGTTTGCCTTTCCAGAACCTGGACGTCCGGACAGTGCAGGGCCACACCTTCCAGAGTCGCAGGCGAAGGCAGGTGAGCGGCCACGTGCGGGAGAAGTTCCTGCTGCTGGATGGCGACAGGGTCATCTCGGGATCTTACAGGTGTGTCCCCTCATGATGCCCTGTGCCCAGCCCTTCCTCAACATGCTCACGTAATGGGGGAGGGGTTGCAGGAGGCATGCCCTTTCTGCTCATCTCTAAAATGGGTCCATATGCCCTTCTTGGAGAAGTGTTCTGCTATGGAGAACACTCAGGGCCTTCTGACGTGTCTCTCTAGCCTGGTGAATCCCAAATTGGGAAACTGAGGCATGAACTCTAGGTGCCAGATGGCTGGATTCAGATCCTAACCCTGCTAGCTATAACAATGTGTCTTCAGGCAACTTACTCCCTTCTCTGCCTCAGTTTCCTCCCTTCAGAATGAAAGGATAGGGATCAGACTATTGAGGGCCCCTTCCATGTGCATACTGAGCCTCATCCCAGCCTCCACCCAGCGGATGTCAGGGGTGTCCCTTACCCATTCTCAACATGACAATCACAGCATCCCCCAGACATGGCCAGGTGCTCCAGGGTATGAGGTGCCTGCCATCCAGGAGCCACTGTTCTTGAAAGGTGCTGAAACACAGCTGCCCACATTCACCTGACCGCTGGTGGGGGCACGCACTCCTGGTACGTTCCCTCTTGGTGCTGAGCCTCCAGCCCTGAGACCACGGCGCTTTGCAGCGTCACTATTGTCTTGGCTTTGCCAGAGGACAGAGCAGTGCCCAACACAAGGCCTAAGTGCTGCAGAGCTGGATGTGGTGGCACACAGCTGAAGAGAAGGAAGATCGCCACCCTCAGCTGTGTAGAGAATTGGAGGCCATCCTGGGATGCAGGACACTGTGCCTCAGAAAAGCACCCTGCCCCACAAAAGAGTGCTCTGAAATCCCATCCGGTATTACTGGTACTGTATTTCACCAACTCTAAGGTGACGCCGACACAAAGAAGCACCTGGGCAAAATGAAAAACGTACATCTTAGGACCAATGGGGCAGGGCAGAGCCGCGAGAGTCAGAGGCCTCAGCCCACACAATGGGCACGCCAGCCAGGCTCCCATGGGCCCTGGAACAGAGGAAGTCAGGGCCACGGGAGGTAGACGGCACCTCTGGCCATTTAATGAGGGAAAGGGGTGAAGGTGAGGGCACAGGGCACAGCCCCAGGCCCAGCGGTTCCTGTGGGTCACCACAGCCAGTATTGAAGCCGCGGCAACAGGCCCAGGAACAGCTGCAGACCCAGCGCCAGGCTGGCAGGTCCTGTGGCTGAAGCAGCACCCCCATTGCAAAGGTGGCCAGAGCAGCAGGTGGTGGTAAGGCTGTAAGTGAGGCCCATGTAGCTGATGGGCTCCTCGCGGCCACAGCTAGTGGAGTGCACGCAGCCTTTGTTGATGATGGGCCCCACATCCTGCGCTACTCCGTGGCCTATGAAGCAGTCCTCGTCGTCCCCACAGCGCATGGGTGTGCCTGGGCACTGAGTGGAGTCAGTCAGCTCACAGAAGATGCAGTCCTTGATGCCTGTCGTACCTGGGCACAGGACCAACACCAGAAACAGTGGCCAGCCAAGGACCATGGTGGCCTGGCGGCGTGGATAGCACCCAAGCCAGGCCGGGGGCTCCTGTGACCTTCTGGATGGCACCTCCTGACCCTCGTCCTGGCCTTGGAGGCCAGCACTTGGAGTGTTCCTGGTTCCCAATACAAAGTGTCCCTCTCAGGAACTCGAGTCCTTGGGTTGGAGATGGGCCAGCACCCCTTTCCACAAGCCTTTGGGCTATGGAACTCAGTGACCTCACAGACCCTCAGGGTTCCCTGACTGCTGCAGGTGGGGGAGGGGTCATAGCCTGTCCCACCACAGGCTGAAGGGCCCAGAACTGTCACCTGCCAAGGTAAGGATGCTTGAAGGACCCTCGTGTAATGCAAACTCACTCATGCCTGCATGTGGCGATCTTGCTTTATCGGTGGTGCACTGAGGCCACAGTGGGGTGCTTGGTGCATGCAGGGCCCCTGAAGGAGAGACACCTCTGCTGTGTCACATCTGTGAAGGGTGAGGGCAGTACAGGGGCCACCCTATGCGACCCGCAGGCCCACGCAGGGCACTTGCTCTGTGTGGCAGACGTGCTACCTGGGTCCTGGTGCACAGTGTACATGCTTAGGACATAAATGCAGTGTTTCTGGGGAGCCTGTGGAAATTCAAATAGTTCCCTGGGTATTAGAAGACCAACCCCACCTCCTGATAAAGAAACTGAGGCACCGAGCTTTCTATCCCTGGGGACAGAGCAGAGCCCACGCTGAAGGCTCTTCTGACTTCAGGTGATCCGTATAAAGACAGTTTTGACTGTTTGGTTTTGTTTGTTTGTTAGTTGGTTGTTTGTTTGGTTTTGGTTTTTCAAGACTGGGTTTTTCTGTAGCTGTAGCTTTAGAGCCTGTCCTGGAACTAACTCTTGTAGCAGAGGCTGGCCTTAAACTCACAGAGATCCGCCTACCTCTGCCTCCTATGCTGGGATTAAAGGCTTAAAGGCCTGTGCCACACACCCTGCGGCTTGTTTGTTTGATAGTCTCACATAACACAGGCTTTTCTGGAACTGTCTAACAAACTCCTGATCTCCCCGCCTCAACCCCCCAGTGCTGGGATTACAGATGCTGTTACTAGGCCCAGCTTGGTGGTATAAGTGTCTTATCCCCTGTTGTCCCCAGGCTGGTTGTGACAAACAGCAGGGTGGATACTTCTTATCCCACTCACCAGAGAGGCTGAGGCCTATGAGATCATGACTTAAGGTCACAGTGGCCGGGGACTAGGGTGGGTGCCACCCTGCACAGATCCTGACTGTTACCCTACATCCCTAGCTTCACTTGGAGTGACTCACGCCTGCATCGGGGCCTGGTGACCTTGCTCACAGGAGAAATTGCAGATGCCTTTAGCCAGGAATTCCGAGTCCTGTATGCGGCCTCCAGTCCACTGCCACCGGCACCAGCTCGAAGCCCCTTGCTCAGCCCTTCTGAAGGTCCACGGGTGCCCCGAAGCCCACACCGTGTGGCCCTGCGCTGTCCTGTGGCCCCTGTGGCCCCATTGCTGTCTGACAAGCCTTTGGCCCACCGCCTGGCGGCCTGTCACATCTTTGAGGGGAACAGACAGGATACCCCCACCCCCACAGGGCCAGCTCTCAGTGACATCTTGAGGAGTGTCCACCGTACCAGGACAGCCAGTGGTCCCCCAACCAGGCCCAGCCGCTCCTTGTGGGACCTCAGCCGCCTGTCCCAGCTCTCCGGCTCCAGTGATGGAGACAATGAGGTGAGACTCCCCCGATAAGGACTGAGGCAGACAGAGAGGTAGGGGGGCCCTGTTTGAACACTGAACCCCAAAGCAAGAAGCAAGTTCTCTTTTTGAACGAGAGTCTTAGAGTCTCTGGCCTTGAACCAATTCTCTGGCCTCCACTTTCCCCCAATGGGATGACAGGGAGTCAGGGGAACTGCACCATGCCTGGCTAAGTGGGTTTAACTTAATCTACCCACTTCACAGATGGAGAGACTGAGGCACCTGTGAGGGCTTGGACCTCAGCTCTACCTCCCAGTAGGACATGTTCACTTTCTAGATTGTAGTCCCTGGGGTGTTGGGGAAAAGGAGGGGATCAGGGGAACTGAGGATCCTCCGGCAGCTGTACGTGGAGAGTGGGGATCCACTGGGCTGCTTGGTTAACCCTGGGCTAGAAATGGTTTTGCATCTGAGTCTCAGTTTCTCTCACTGTGAGACAGGTTGTTGTATGGAAGAACAGAGCCATGTGGGGAGACAAACAACCTCCCCAGGATGCAAGCAGGTGGGCTTACGTCCCTCAGGAGCTAACCCTTGCCGACCTCAGTTTCCCCATCTGCTCCCTGGAAACTGAGCAGAATTACTTCTGTCAGTGAAGCCAGAGGAAAGGGAGTGGGCAGGCCAAGGTCCTTGCCTGCCTCTGCTGAGGTTCCCCTCCCTTGACAAATATTTGGCCCCAAGATGGCACAGCTGCTTCCTGTTCTTCCACAGATACAAGGCGAGAGGCATCCTATGTGGGTCTGGGGTTCCAGGTCTTCTCTTACCCCAAGATCTTTGCTCCTAGCATCCTTCCCCCCACCCTTTTTTTTTTTTTTTTTCTTTTTGGTTTTCCGAGACAGGGTTTTTCTGTAGCTTTGGAGCCTGTCCTGGAACTCCCTCTGTAGACCAGGTTGGCCTCGAACTCACAGCGATCCACCTGTCTCTGCTCCCAAGTGCTGTGGGATTAAAGGTGTGCGGCACTCCACAATGTTTTTAAGACCGTGTCTGTGACTGCACAGACAGAGATAGCAGCCAGGAAGCTTTGGGGCCACTCGCCTTCCTTCCAGTGCTAATTTACAATGCTTAGCTGGTAGTCCCAGCTTTTATGTGAGCACTGGGGGCCCAGGCCCAGACCTCATGGTTCTGTAGCAAGCATTTTACCTACTGAGCCGTCTCCAGCTTCTGGCCTCCTTACTTTTATTTTTATTTTTTGTTTTGTTTTGTTTTTCAAGACAGGATTTCTCTGTGTAATAGCTCTGGCTGTCCTGGAACTAGCTCTTGTAGACCAGGCTGGTCTCAAACTCACAGAGATCCACCTGCCTCTGTTCCCAAGTGCTGGGATTAAAGGCGTGCATGCACCACCACCATCCACCTTGCCTCCTTATTTTGACAGGGTTTCATGTGGTCCAGGTTGGTCTTGAGCTTCTGATCCTCCTGCCTCTACATCCTGAGTGCTGATACTATGGTGTGCCTGTTGTGCCCGATTTATGTGGCGCCAAGGACCAAACACAGGCCCTGTGCACACCAGGCTAGCACCGCCCCCTGAACCCCAGAAACTGCTCACCAGATTTTTTTTTCCCCTTCACAGCTCAAGAAGTCCTGGGGCCACAAGGACACTCCAGCCAGGGCCCTGATGAGGCAGAGGGGCACTGGAGGAGGACCCAGGGGTGAGATGGATTCTCACCCACTAGCCTGGTCACAGCCCTGGAGCGCCCCCCTCCCCAGGATTCCAGCCCGCCATCTGCGGTACTTATCTCCAGCCCAAAGGCGGTTGGGAAACAATGCTACATCAGACTGGGCCTCTGGCTCAGGCCCTGGAAAGCGACGCTGATGGCCAGACGTGGGTCAGCTCAGAGACCCTACCAGACACTGAGAGTATGTCAGCCCTTGGCCTGGGAGCTGGGCAGTGGAAGGAATTGGTCTTAATTGCTCTCAAACTGGGTGAACTCAGCAGAGTTAAGTGCTCGAGCAGAAGGTTCCAGAGCAACTGGTCTTCCACTGGACTGCTTCAGAGACAGGCCCGGCTGCCTCACCACTGTTGTAGAGAGGACCATGCGGCAACCCCAGAGAAGCACCCACACCCGTGTGTGGAGCAGAGGGTAAACCGAGTCCAGAAGAGGAGTGTTCGCAGTGACGGAGTTTGGGGGGGAGGGACCCAGAAATTCTGGGGACACTGAGACATTGGGTGTGTCTGGAATGTTTTGTGGGAGCCGATGGGGAGCAGCAGAGCGTTCTCTGTTTCTGATCAGATTAAACTCTGACAACACAGACATGAATCGCCATGGTTTCCNACTTCCCAACTCCAGACAACATCCTCCCCAGCTCTTCTTGAGACCCAGGGTTTCTCCCCAACTCCCCTCTCTCAGGTCAGGCCCAGCCTGGCGTCCCTGTTGCCCGGTTGCGTTCAAGCTCAGTGCAGGGTTCTCCCACCCCCTTTGTGCTGTTTTGGTCCTTGAGTAACCCAGGCTGGACATGAATTTGCAATCCTAGTGCCTCTGCCTCCCAAGCACTGGGATGAAAAGTGAGTCACACTGAGCCTCTGGTGTGTGACCCCATCCTCTGTATTCCACCCCAAATCTCCCCTCCCGCTACCCCCCTCCCGTGCTCTCCCCTCCCCCCACCTCTCTCCAACCACTCTCCCCTGCTCTCCCCTCCCGCTCCTCCCCCTTCCCTTCCGCTCCCCCCCACTCTCCCCTCCCCCCACCTCTTCCCTTCCGCTCCCCCTACCTCGTTGTCCCCCGAAAACGCAGCAAGTAGGAAGGGGCAATCAGAGTGTCAACTTTATTGTGAGGCTGCTGCGTTGGGGTCATCAGAGGGTCCTGGGTTAGAGCCAGGACTAGGGCTGGGCTCAGGATCAGGGTCACCATCAGGGCTGGTGGCCTCTGGGGACATGTCCCAGGGGAAACTTGGTTGTCCTCTCATCTGCTCACGGTAGACGCGGTCGAAGGCCTCACTCTGTGCCACAGTGAAGTGGTTCTTCCAGTCACCACTGATGCCTGGGGGGGACAGAGGAAGGGACCACTGAGGAACTCCCCTCAGGACCAACTACACCATCTGCGTCACCTGCCTCTTTCCCTTACCACCTTGGTGACCCTTGTCTGCCCTGTCCTTTGACCTCTGACCTTCCAGATCTCTTCCCAGAACTCGCTTCCCTCTTAGCACCCAAACACCCCCTTTCAGCCTGCATCACCTCCTCTGGGAGTTGCCTCTGCCGGCACAGGGCTCTCTCCCCCTAGTACCCCTCAAGACACCCAACATGGCCTCCAGCATTCTTGTGCCTGGATGGCCAGAGCACCCCAGTCAGGCACTCTGGAAGCTGCTTCAGCAAGGTGCCGCCCACCCCAAGCATGTAAAGCTGAGTGCTGGTCCCTGCTATCACAGGGACCCCTAGGGGTCCCTCTCTTGCCTGTGCGGACAGGGGCCTTCCAAACAGCTTGTAGACTTTATTGCATGGCAGTCATGTCGCCTCTGGTGAGATCAGGAGTCTCCCCGAGTCTCCCCGAAGGGGGCTGCTACACCTTAGAGATACTCATTTCTTGGGATTTAGACCGTGACTTCACATGGCGGCAGGATCCGGGGGTCGGGGACCAGCCTGGACCACCTGGGTTGTCACGGCTTTGTTTGGAGACAGAATCTGAAGCAGCCCAGAATGGCCCCAACTCTGAATAGCTGGTTTGACCGGCAAGCACCACCACGCCTGACTAAACACTGAATTATTCCGCACTAAAACAAAGGTTCCTGCGACTTCAGCCTCACGCTGTTGGAGCCTGGCTTTGAATGCCCTCAGGATGTTTGGTTTCAGGCGGATGTCCAGATCGAGGCAGGTCAGCAGGTAGGCACCTGGAATGCCAGGCCTCCTACCAAGAGGCCCTGTACACTCCCTGGGGCATCCGGGAAAATGAAGGCCCCCCGAAGCTGTGAACTGTCTAGAAGCGCACAGTGGTACCTTTGCGCAGGAACGCCCCCTGGCGGTGGTCCAGCAGGCTGGCCGGCAGCAGCGTGTAGTTGGACATTGTATTGGCCTTCATGGCACCAAAAGCGGAGTGGGCCACCACAGAGCTCAGGGCCTCTTCACCCAGTGGCCGGCCCAGGAACTCACAGATGCGTTGCACAGAGCCTCGCAGGTCCTGGGGTGGGAAAAAGAATAGTGGAGTGGGGGCCACTTTGGGTACCTGGTGGGGAGGCCAGTGGTTTCCAAGTTTACATCAGAAGCTGACGGCTCTGCCCCTTTCCGCACCCCCAGCACTGGTCTCTGGGGCCTCCCCTTCCCCGGCTGCCTCAGCCCAGATTCCTGTCCCGCCTGCCTTCTTTTGCCATGTTTTCATTTCTGTGTCCCCAACGTCCCCACCCTGGCCCACATCTCATCCTCCCCGCCGCAGCCCCTCTCCCAGCCTGCCTGCCTCCGGGGAGGCCCCCCATCTCCTCACTTCAGCCAACTCTTCCCTGGCGCCCTTGATTCAGTGGCTCCCCAGTACGTGGGACAGAGTCCTCCCTGGCCTGGTTTTCAAGGACAGGGTGGTGTGGTGTGAGCCCCTGCTTCCCACACTGCCGCTCCTGACCTTTCACCCCTGCACAGCTCAGCACAGGATTTCTCGATAATCCCTGCCACTGATAAATTCAATTGCTGCCTTCCTCATGACACTTGGCTCAAGTCCCTGGAACCAAACTGTGACCCAAGTCCTCGTTCACATTTGTGCTGATCCTGCCGTCAGATTTGCAAGAAAGGTCACACCCAGTTGACAAACGGAGGTCCAGAGATAGAAGATACTTGCCCAAAGTCACATAACCCCAAAGCTCAGACTCAGCCCCCCAAGCTCCACGGTCCTCTCAACCTCCCAGCCATGACATACGGTGCTCGGCATAGCTGGTGGCTGCATAGCCCCATGGTCAGCTTTTCCAGGTCAATTTCTCTTTCATAAGCCTTTGTTCTCTGAGCCACAGGCCTGTCCCAGAAACACACATGTGGGCGGTGCCGTGTCCCTTGCAGAGTCCCCGAAGCTGTGCTCCACTCCGTGGCCCAGTTTTTGGTTAGGAGAATAAAACTTGATTGGATGAAGGGAGGGAGACATGGCGCCGAAAGCTTTCTCAGGAGAAAGTATCGGGATGGAAAAATTATGGGGGCTGCGGGGAATCGCTGTGTGTCTTTGGCGAATGCCCGACTCTCTCCAGAGTGCTAAAGCTCATGCCCTCCTCTGAACGCCGTGAGGACTTCTCAGGGCGAACCTAAATAATTACGATTTCCACAGCTCAAAATTGGTGGCCTATTGCTATTTGAAGTGAATATGTATATATAATATATATATGTAATTTTTTATTACATTCGTGCATGTGTGCTGTGTGTGTGCACATGGCAGAGGTCAGTTCTCTCTTTCCACATCTGGGGATTGAACTCAGGTCGTTAGGCCTGGTAGCAAGCGACTTTACCCTTTGAGTCAACTTGCCAACTCTTTTTTTATTTGTTTGTTGTTGTTCTTTGTTTTTTTAAGACAGGGTTTCTCTGTGTAGCCCTGGCTGTCCTGGAACTCGCTCTGTAGACCAGGCTGACCTCGAACTCATAGAGATCCACCTGCCTCTGCCTCCTGAGTGCTGAGATTAAAGGTGCCCGGTTCAACTCTACTTTTTAAAAAATGTATTACTTTATGTGTAGGAGTGTTTTACCTGCAGGTATATGTGCCATGTGGCCCACAGAAGCCAGAAGAGGACACCATATCCCCCAGAACTGGAGTTACCACCAGTCGTGAGCCACCATGTGGGTGCTGGGAGCCAAATCCAGTCCTCTGCAAAAATAGTCAGTGTTCTTGTTTGTTTGTTTGTTTCGAGACAGGGTTTCTCTGTAGCTTTGGAGCCTGTCCTGGAATGAGCTCTGTAGACCAGGCTGGTCTCAAACTCACAGAGATCCGCCTGCCTCTGCCTCCCGAGTGCTGGGATTAGAGGCGTGCCAGGGTTAACTGCTGAGTCACCTCTCTAGCCTTCTGGTTTATTCTGTTGTTCGCTTTATGTTTCTGAGTCAGAGTCTCACCAGGTAGCCCTGGCTGTCCTGGAACTCGCTCTGCTGCCTCTGCCTCCTGAGTGCTGGGGACAGGCTCCAGTGGGTGAGTCTTTCCTGGGCTTCTCTGCCCGGTCTCTGGGAACAGCTGTGCACAGATTCTCACTGGTGCTTAGCAGTAGGTGGCAGGCGCTGGTTGGCTCTCCTGGTGGCCATTCCCACGTGCCCTTACCCTGGCCTTCGACTCAGCCCCATGTGCCCTTACCCTGACCTAGCTAGCCGTTCACACTCTACAGGCTGACCCAGGGCTGGGCAGGCTTGGGGTAGGCGCAGCACACCAGGGCCAGGCACACTCCTCCGGGCTGTGCTCCCAGCTGAGAGCTGAGAGTCACTGAGAATCTAAGGTGGTAACTACCATAAGTGTCTCTGGAAGCTAGGCCTGGTGACACAAGCCTGTCACCTCAGTCACTCTGGAGACCAAGGAGGATTGAAAGTTCAAGGCCAGCCTGGGAACCTTAATGAAACTCCATTTAAAATTTAAAAGTCCTTGCCTAGAATTTCCCAGCAAGGACTTCAAGTTACGACTCATTTGTTACTTGCCCAGCGTATACAGGCCCTGGGTTCAATCCTCAGAACTGAAAAAGGTGGCAGTTATGGAATATACCAGCACTTGGGGGAGGCTGAGTCAGGGAGATCTGGAGACAGAGGCCAGCCTGGTCTACAGAGTGAGTTCCAGAACAGCCAGGGCTACACAGAGAAACCCTGTCTAGAAAATAAATAAAAGAGAGAGTTTGTTGCTAGAAGCCTGGGTTGTCCCCAGCACTGCAGGAGTCAGGCATGGGGGTACTTCCATAAACTCGGGCATTGGAAACAGAAGAATTAGAAGTTCAAGGTCATCCTCAGGCACTTGGGCTCCCAAGATTTAGAGTGATGGAGGGGAGAGAGTGGGGGGAGGAACGCTTCCCCAGGCCCTTTGCACTGGCTGCTCTGGCTGCAGACTCTCCTGGCCGCTTGTCCATTTGCTGCTGTGTGTCCCTCCTATCTGATTGTGAGTTGACAGGCCCTATCTGCCTATAGTTACCCATGTCCCATCTCCAGACCACCATAGGTTGTCCATCCTATCTGATCGTGAGCTGAAGAGCCCTATTTGCCTATAGTTACCCACTTCCCATCTCCAGACCACCATCAGTTTTGTTCCCCCAGGACAAGGCCTGATAGGAGGTTGGCGGGCATCCAGGAGCGTGTGGCGAGGGAGAGGTGCCAGGGGCA